CGGGCTTTCCTTTTATAGTATCCCCGAATCATTTATGTCAATCCTTTTTGTTGTCCCAAATTCCGCGCTTTTATTGTCTTTTCCGGAGCAACAAAAGGACGGGTAAATGTAATCATTACTAATTACCTCAAAGGCGATGATTTTCGGACAATTATGACCATGGGAAAGGAAGATTTTATTGTAACTTTATTTGAACTTTATTGACACAAAAAAACCGTGTATATAATGTTTAACACCCCTATCACGCCTTTTCGACTGCACATAAAGTCGGTTCCCACACCAGTGCGACGGCTCAGGTCTGTGCCTATCCTTGTCGCCTTTTGCCGCGGTGGCTCTCTCCCACCTATCCGTAGTCTATCTACATCGATCATACGCTTCGCTCCCCTCGCCTCCCTCGCCAGCGGCCGCTCCTCTCTCATGGCGAGGCTCTCCTCGGCCCCTGACCTGTGCCCCGCTTTCTCCTCCTACTGCGCGATAACACACTACATAGGAACTCCTATGGGGGATTCATAGTGGATCTTCGTGACGCGGTGAATGGTATCATTGTCGGGCTCCAGTAACCGGGTGATGGAAGAAAGCCAACAGCAGGGCAGCGAGGTGCGTCCATCTTCTGTTCCTTTCCTCTTCATTTTATTCTCGCATCGTTCGCCTTGTGTCAGGCTCGATCGCCCCTTCCTCGTCCCCGTTCCGAGGGTGCTCCTCCACACCCAGACCTCGCTTATGTCCGTCTCATTGTCTGCACGATCTTCATCGGTCATGCAGCTTATCACCATGAGGCTCATGTCTCGCCCAGTGGCTGATGAACATGTGTATCCCGCATGCGTAGGTCAGGGTGTTGGAGGACCGTCCTCGCATGGCGTGTCCGTCGAATTAAGCCCTGTCTTCATTCTTTCTCTTTCCTTTTCTTCGTATGAGACACCTTCGTGTCGTCTCCATCCCCAATTTAGAGAGGACACCCAGCCTTCTTACCGCGAGATAAGGCTCCTCCATTGCTGGCCATCTTCCCACATCGTCCTGTATGCCACCAGGTGTACGGGTATCTTTGCGTTCATCTGGTGAAGACGGATCATGTCGAGCTGTGGTCTCAAAGTTTGGTACAGACAGGAGGAGCCCCTTCTCTGTAGCTTACCTCGCCCGCAGTGTCTCATTTTCGAGGTGCATGGACATCACAGTTGGGCATGTGAGCGGCCTAGAATTCTCTTTGAATCATTCTTCGAGTTCTAAAAACGGGTGCGTCGTCGTTCATTTCTTTCTCTTCCCATACTCACGACCTTCTGCTAGCTCAGGTAGTGGATGACTCTGTCGGTCTCTCGGGCCATTGGCTCCAGCTCCCATCCATTCATCATCCTCTCGGTCTGAGTCGCCTCGCTACCTTATTCCTCTTGTCCTCCTTACCCTGTTTTCCATTGCGCGCCTCTCCTCCATGCCCAGCCTCGCATTCTACTCGCTCCTCCACACGAATGACATGCAGTCGTGTGGGAACTAAAGAGACTTCGAATCGGGTCTTGGAGACGAAGCGAATGGTGTCACTTGAGAACGTTTGGGTAGTGGAGGACAGTGCGCCTGATGAAAGGCAGGATGGCGGGGTGTGTCTACCCTTCTCCGTTGCTATTCTTCTCTCCTCCCTGCGTGCTTTCTGCACTTTCGCGCCGTTCATCCATTCTATCCCTCCCGATTTGCCTTGTTTGTCGTCCCTTTGGAACGAGGGCACTCCTCCACACCCAGACCTCCGCTTTACATCTGTTTCCTAGTTTTCACGATCTACGTGGGGTCGTATAGCTTGTCGCTGGGTGTTATGCCTCACCCTGTGACGTATGGTAGTTCAGATAGCGGCATTCTTCCAAAGTCTGAATGGCGGAGGATCGCCTTTACATGGCATGTGTTTCGAATTTTGGGAATTCGTATGCGGCTCTTCTTCGCTCAATTTTCTCTTATGACTCTTCATTCATTCATATTCATTTCCTTCGTGCCTTTTCATCGTCGTTTCCTGCGTAATGTTTGTTGCAACATCTCGAGAGCAGGCTCCACACGCTCTAGACATTGAATTCCCGCATCATCCTGTCGGTCGAAAGATGCGCAGGTGTCCTCCTATCTGCCTGATGACAGCGGCTTGTGCGACTTGTGGGACTTTTTATGTGCGTTAAAGCTGGGGGGAGCCTTCTCCAGGTTTTACTGAGTATCTCAATCCTGGACAATCATTTCTGCTTCCTTCGGTGTCAGGAGTTCGAAGCCCGGTATTGAGTAGTTCATGTTCAGTATGCTATTATGGCAAGAAAACCCTTTCCATACGTATTTGCAAAGTCATGGATCTGGAATGCACAAAATGGATCGTTTATCTTTACATTCACCGTCTAAGCTGAACGCGAAAGTTTAAGACCCACAAACCAACGACACAGAGTCCAATCTGGCAGCATCTACTACTCGTAATCTAAAATGGAGTGACTTGGAATAAAACTGTTCTTACTGACAAACGCGGACTGCGACCAACGCCAGATACAGCCCTCCACCGAACTCTGAACGGAGGTCACCGATTATATACGGACCTCCAACCATATACTTACAGACCCTCAAGCACTTCGAAGGCTGGTAATTCGGGACTATTGCACTCACATCTAGTGCACAATACGCGTCTAGGAACCTCCCTCCACGACATACTTATATGTGGGAGTGTTAACCGTTTACATATGGAGAAGGCAAGCCTTTGTTTGCCTCTCGGTGGTGTCCACTAACATGAACATGCAAACGGTGTAGTCCCGACAGCGAGCCGTGGAGGAGGGTCCAAGAATGACACACGTGCAAATGAAGGGAATCTGACGGTGAAAAAAAGGGGAGTTTCAGAGGAAAAATGAAACTTTGAAGCAGAAAAAGACCATTGACACACAAAGCCATATCTGCCCCCATGACCGCTGTCCTCTGTCACACAAGCAGCCTCGAAAATGCGACCCATTCGCCGCCCCTTGAGACGAGTGATGTCGTCTTCCAGGGAGCTACACGAATCAAATTATACCGCATAGATGAGACAAACGGGAAGCTGAGCAGGGTGTGAAGGAGAGAATTTCGGAGGCGGGGGACGGGGAAAGGAGAGAAGAAGGGGAAATTTTAAGCTAAAGGCCTCGCAAGAGGATGAGTGAACAGTGCATATGTCCGAAAAAGAGGCATGATGCATGAAAACATTGTTGGTGTTTGCAGAAAGGCAACAGCGTACCACATACTGCACACCATTCGCATCATAGGTGATACATCGTGCTACCCCAACAGACGAATGGCAGGGTCTGAAGGAGTGAAACTCGTGCGATATGAGTGCACACGAGTCAACGATAGACGTGAATAGCAATACCGCATAGGAGGGCGCTCGAACGGGTGACAGTGGTACCGAATGTGAAGAAAGGGAGGGAAGGCAAAGGGATAACCGAACGGGGAAGCGCAGAGATGAGCACCCGAGTACGGAGGCTCACTGAGAACCACGAGCGAATCTCAAAGTGCAGACGGCGAGAGCAAAAATATTCTTGAACCACGCACCAGGGAGCAGGAATCCTCTACTTCTAACACACACATGTCCAGATTTCACGAAGGAACACCATCCATGGAAGACTGCACCTTGGGATGGGTGGAAGGTTTCGTTATGCAGATCCTCGGGCGAGGTGTCACGCGTCAAGGCTAGATTCGATTGACCAAGGAGTTCAAGGGGGGGAGCCCGTTTATATAGATAGCACCAGTAGCGGGAAAGAACAGAGGAAACGATGTCAGTGCTTAGAGCAGGAGAGCAATGGGGCTTATCAACTCACCAGCCGACCTCTGATCGTGCTCTGAGACGACCCGATCTTCCATTCTCCTTGGGATGGATGTCTTTGGGCTACATTCTTCAGCGAACGGAGTGGTGATCGTCGGGGAGATGCACGAGAGGAAGTGGTGAGGGAGAGATGAGAGTACGAGCCGAAGAAGAGTTGACGCCGACGGATGATTTGCAGGTCCTTGCCAAACAAAGGGGAAATGCCAAGCGGCACAAGACCTCGGCCGAGGTGGCCGACGCTGTCTCTTGCCAAACACTTTGCCATTGACCACATTTCTCTGAAGTTGTCCTACTTTACTTCACTGTCTCTCTTTTCATGCTCCAGATTTCATCACCCCTACTTCTGCCTTACACCCTAGCTCCCACTGGAACGACAGAATGCACAGCTCACATCTCGATCATCGTGGATTGGCGATGGAGGTTCACTGGATACAGATCAACAGCGAGGAGAGGTCTCCGAGGATGCGATCGTGATGATAGATAAACCAGGTGCGTCGTCAAGCATTTGTTTTCCCTTTTTTTCGCATGCTCACCACCTTCCGAGTACTCAGGTCATTGTGGATCCCTTCCATCTCACGGCCACGGCGTCTCTTGTCCGTGCATGGTCTAGTGCTCTTATCCCCTTCGACCACCCACTCCGCCTTACCTCTCCCTACTCGCCTCGCATCATGTCCCCCACATGATTCTCCTCCACTCCCAGCATCAGTTTCCGCTTGCATTTCCTCCCAAACGACCTTCTGTCATGCGGGACAGTCTGAAGAGATCTTGTAACGTCTATGTATTGGTGCTAGAGCACGTCTGAGAGAGTGGGGAAGCTACATTAGGATAATGTTGGTGTACGCTAGGGAATGACTGAAGTATTACGATGTCCGATGAGAAGTAATATGTAGGCAAAAGCCAAAGGGCTTTTCGACCCAGCAGGAGTTCCTGATCTATGAAAGGAAACGAGATGAGCTGCGATTCCCAAGCACTAGGAGTCCTGCGACGCGTCGAGCAAGTCTCGGATACCACCCTATTAGGAGCATGATGACGTGGACTCACTTTATTAGCCGCGGCAGATGGGTGGCATGGTCAGCCTGATGAATTCGTCGTGGCGGAGAGGATTGGCTTGCATGTATGGGGCAAGGATTTGTGTGTGCTTCCTCAGATAGGTGAGGAAAGCGTCACTGGCCCAGCGGCCCTTGACTTTCATTACCTCAAAAGGTATACCTCATAGGAGGTACTCGAGGGTTGAGCCGATGCGAATGCCATGACCTTGCAGCGGGTCCAGACCTGCAGCTCGAGTGGCCTTGGCTAGCGTCTGCAGGAATTTGGGTTTTGTAAGTGCATTGTAGCCCTTGGCGGTGTGGTAAGCGAACAACGGGCCCTCCTTTGGTGGGTTGTTGACTGAGAGATGTTTGTCGAGGGCAGCTGCTGGGTCAGTATCCCCATTCTGTTTGGACCAGGACACATCCTCGCCTTCGATTGGCTCCGTTTTTGTAACTGGGATGTGAAAGGCTGTCGTCGTCAAACTGTTGGCATCTGTGGTGGTTATTACGTCTGATGGTTTGACGTGGTGCGTAGCTTTGAAGTCTGTGAGGTTTTTAACTGTGAACTCTCCAAGTCTTGCAGCTGACCAGAAGGTTGTTGTGAGGCATGCATAGACGGCGGCATCCAGCGGCGTTTCAAGGTCCAGCTTGTCGCGAATAGCCAGCATGAACTCTTTTGTGTACGGTAGCCTCTTCTTCCGTTTTGTTGAGGCTGGGGCTGCCTTTGCAGCTGCCTTCAAGAGTGTCTTGAGCTCACTAGGATTCATCCGCCATGAGACCCCATGAAGAAGGTGCCAGGCTCTCACTCCAAAGACATAGTTGGAAATGGTGCCTCCCGTGTATGCGCCTGTGATAGTAGCAATGAACGAGGCAATGAGGATGGGAGACGCAGGCGCCTGTTGCTCTTCGCTGATCCCTTTCTGATCGCAGAATACATGGTATACTAGCAGGCCTGACCCATAGCCCTCTCGCGTGCCTTCCGCCCATGCACCCTCCATTACCTCCAGGATTCTGCGGAGGTTGGCTTCGGTTAGGTTGGTGGGATGGCCATTACCGTCAAGGACATTTCGTGGGGTGGTTGGCTTCCAACACGTCAACCGTTCTTGTGCGAGCACATGGGGACGTTGCAGTGAGAAATGTGGAGTAAGTGCTTCTTGGTATGGTGCTGGTGGGCAGGTGGGGTGCACTGTGTCCACCTCTTGGATGCTGTGATTTGCTGGCACAAAGCGGTTGCGCTTATCGCTCTGCTTCCGCTTGGGCAGTGAATTCTTCCTCACGTTGTGCCTGGCCTTCGTCTGTGGTTCTACACTGCTGGCGCCTTGACGCTGCATTGAGTCTTGGGGCTGCCATTGGTGCTCTTCCTTCCCGTATAAGATGGAGCTCAGTTGAGCAAAGAGGTGTGTCGTAGTCTGTGACGTATGGCCTGAGGTTGACTGGGATTTCGAAGGCGGCAAGAAGGTGGGTGGGTGGGCCATATTCGCTGCGAGAGGGTCCATCAGCCGGATTCTCTTTGCTAGGTACATACTGGGTGTGGATGACGAACTTGTTCTCTTCCACGATTGAGTGAATATCGCGGAAGATAAGGTTGCTTGGCCAGTTTCTGCTGCGTCCTTTCCACCATCCCTCGACGACTCCTTGGTTGTCGCCGTAGACCAGGCAATGGATGCCAGGGTGGCGGTAAGTGTTGCCGAGCGCAATGACGAGGAAGAGGAAGCCAACGGCCTCTGCCCATCCAATGTCTCTGCCCTCGCCTTTCCAATTTGGAAGCAGACGCCAGGCACGCCACCTGTTTCCAATGGTAATCCCAATGCCAATCTTTGAGCTAGTGTCTGAATACGCTGCAAGGTCGATGATTGGGACTGGGCCTGGGATGGGCTGGATGATCTGGGGTTGTTGGAGTTTCTCTTTCCACCATTGTAGATCGCTTGTAGTATGTCTTGGTGGGGTACGTGGCATGAAAGGACGATCGTGGAAGGTTGCCATGAGGGCCTCCAAGCTGGTGAGATATGCACGTCCTGCTGGAACCACGAGGCATGCATGGAGTAGCTTTCCATAAAGCTTTTGCGTCTCCTCAAGGTTGTGCTCCTTCCTCATCTCCCATTCCCGAATAGCCTTGAGGTACTTCTCCTGCTTTGCGCTTGCAAGAGCGACCTCTCGCTGATCCAGGTCCCAGAGGAAACCGATGAATGGGACGACTGACTGGAATGGTACGTCTTTTTCGGTTTCCCAAGGAATCCCGAGCTCATTGCATATTGCGTCAATGTCTGACATGCAGTAAGTGAATCTCCGCTCCTCCTCCGATCTGCGCGAGCTGAGTGAGGGTTGTTTGGCTGATGCGTTTGACGTTGCTTACCTTGGAGATGCCTGCGAGAGATCTCTGATTGGAAAGGAGACGTCCTCGTCGAACTCTTCTGGCTTTCCGTTGGGCATGAGCTGCCCACGGAACCAGAGTCTTCCTCTATCATGCAGTTCCCCTCTGTTCTCCCGGATGTCGGCTGCCCATTGGCTACGCTGGTCATTGTACGCTGAGAGGTGCTCTCGACGTATTTGAAAGAACAGGTGATCGTCGACCCATTTTGAGAGTGGGCCGATTCCATTGGCCTGCATGAGTTGGGCCCCAGCGTCTCCAATTGCCCCATAGCAGCCTGCTCCTGATGCGAGTCCAAAGCAGTTTCGGGTGTCGATGGCGAAATTATCTTCTCCTCGAAGGCGGACGACAATGCCTGGCCATTGCGATGGCTTGAGTGGTATGGTTCTATAGGCCTCCTTGACGTCTCGCACTGCTGCTTGCGAACCGGGTGGTAGGCGCGCAATGAGCAGGCAGACGACAGAGAAGGTTCCCCATGTGCATGGGAAGCGGTCTGAGTCGATGGCACTGTTAATAGATGTGATATTGCTGGTGGGCTTATGCGGATGCGAGAGGTTTTGTATGATACGATACTTTCCCAGCTGCGCGGGTTTAGGAATGAGAGAGAGAGGAGACGTCTGGAATGGACCCAGGAGGGCTTCTGTCTCTGCTTTTGTGACTGGTCCGATGTATCGGCCACGCTCGAACTCAGCCTTCGAGTTTTCATCGAATTTGTCACTGAAGTCCGCAACGGATTGTTTGTTTGGTGGGGTGAATGTGGTGCGGATGACAGGAATCCCTGCGTCAAATCCCCGCTGAAGGTCGCTTGGGATATTTGGGTACTTTCCGGTAAGCCCAGCCCGCTCCAGATGCTGCCTCCATGCTTCCGGCTTGTAGGGTGACCCCGAATTAAGCTTTTTGCCCTCGAGGGCACGTCTGAGCTCCGTGAGTCGGCTTTCCGCAACCGGAGCACTCGTGTTTGGAGTCGTGAGATGTGCTGCTGCATCCGGCCTTGCGTTGCCAGTCGGAGCAAAGGATTGTGTTCGCTGGGTTGAGGAGATGCCCCCTGTCGCTTTTGGTGCAATGGGCTGGGGTGACTCTGTCCCACAGTGTTTCTGAAGCGCAACTGTAGACGTTGTGGGGATTTCGACCGAGGCAGATGGTGCAGGCTGACAAGGTCGAGGTTGTGGCTGCACCTGGCTGAAAAAACAGCACTGCTGCTTCTGTGATGCGACATTTCTTGGTTTCTCGTGGCGGCGACTGGACCAGGGTCTGTGCCGGTTTTGCGCGGACCCTTTTGTCGCTCCGGCGGGCCCTTTCTGGTGACGGCGAGGGTGAACAGTAACGCTTCGCTCTGGGGGTGTTCATTGATGCTCTGGCGAGCTGTTCCTCGAGCCTAATGGATGTGCAAGATGCGGAGCGAGATGATGATGCAGAGGACATTAGTAGTTAGGATGCCATAATTGTAGGTAATTTTTTTGAGTAACGTATTTATGGGTAAGATACATGAGCATAGGTCATTATGTGTAATATTTGGACAGGTATGTGTGACGCGACATGAGGGCACATGGGTGGTGTGAGGAGTGTCATAGATGCGTAAGTGTTCAGAATTGAAGTATGGGGTTGTAGGTATTGATGTCGTAGCAGGTAGGAGAGGACGGTGATGCTCATGCAGTGTGATGTGATGCGATGACACGGTATGATGCAGAATGATGCAGGATGCAGGATGCAGGTGAAATGAAACATACGATGCGATGCAGGTGGTGCGATGTGTAGGCGAAGCGAGATTGCGACGTATGATGATGCAGTCGGTACCATCGATTTTTATTGGGAGGGCATGTAAATGGGGCTTGTAAGTGTGTGATTCGAAAGGACCTGGTATTGGGTTACTTACCATAAAACGCCTTGGCTATGTTGAGCGTTGAGGTGCTCGGTGTACATCTGGTTAAGCCGTAGGTCGTTGATGACGCTGATGTCAAAGACGTCCTCGTCGCTGGTACCTTTGAGGGCCTCTGTCCACTCGCGACGGACCTGCGACTGGTAGTGCAGCACAACGGTGTCACCTCTGTCTTGCTTTCGCAGGCGATGGCTCTCCAGCTTGAAGAAGAATACGCCGAGGGCTACGACGTGCTGCTCCGGCCATTCCTCCTGGCCCATGTGGCAAAGCATGTCGTTCTTGGCAAGCGTTAACTGTTTAAAGGTTAGGTCTTCATCCCGGATGACCTTCTTCGCCGCCTTGTATGCGGCTGCCGGCTTCATGAAGAGCTGGTCCCCAACCGACGTGAAGGTGATGTTGTCCTTAGCTGCAGTTTGTTCCGCTCTTTCTGCTTCAGAGCACGCTTCTGGTGTGAAGTAGTAGAGCTCGACGTGCTCGCCTTGGCGGAGCTTGTGGATGGCATATGGAGATGGGCAGGTGTCAGAGACACTGTCGACGACTTTGTTGACTGTGAAGTTCTGGACCTTGGGCTTCCTCTTCTCCTTTTCGCGTTGGTTCGCCTCTTCTGTCTCTTGAAGTTCCTTCTCCTTCATAGCCTCCTCCGCCTCTACTGCTGCCTGGCACTCTTGTTCGGTCGCTTCTTCTGCTGCCTTGTCTTGCTCGACTTGGGCCTCCCAGGCTGCCTTTTTTGCGTCGTTGTCGCGTGTCCAGGCGGCCTTGAGCGTGCCTATGATGTTCTCGACAGGGTTTGCCTCTGTGGCCAAGGGTGCGTAGACGGCCTGGAACTCGACGCTGTCGAAGTCTGGTGACTCTGCCAGGTTTGGGTCTTGGGTGATTCGTGGCATGCTGGTTGACAGTTGTGTTGTTGAAACGAGGATGAGTGTAGATGGAAGTTTTGGTATAGTGGGTAGTAGACAGGTTTATAAAGAAAAGAAAGGCAAGCCACTCTGACGAGCTCTAGCGACTTGCGGTGGATGACAGTCACGGTGAGAGCGTGAAACTCCACCCAGCCTGCCACCGCTGATGCATAGACCGCACCCTAACCCTGCACTCATGCTTCATTATGTAATAGGCCATAATCATTGAGCTCCCCACCCTCGCCGCCGTCGTCCAGTAACCCGCCGCCGTTACCGTGGACCTCGCTCGAGGGCCGAACGGTCATTCGCAAGATAATCGAGCAAGAGGTCCCCCAATGGTTGAATGGACCTCGCCCCACTCAGGTAGACTGCTGGGCACACACTCTGCAGGAACGCCCACCATCCTCATTGCCTCGACAGGATGGGGCAAAACCTCGGCCTTCTTTGGCCCCATCCTCGTTCTGCGCCATCTCATCAAGAATCCACGACCCAATCTCAACATACCAAGGCTGCCTCGGAAACCTGTGGCTTTGGTGGTGACACTGTTGATTGAGCTGGGATACGCCCATGTACATCGCCACTCCACTTCAGTTTTCTATGGAAACTAACTCTTATCAGTCTCTGGAAATCAAGGAGTACGGCCTTAAGGCCATTTGTCTGACAGCCGAATCGTTGCATGCAGCATCGAAGGAGGGCCGGAACCTCTTGCAGGAGATTCGTCGATGCGAGTGGTCCATCGTATTGCTGTCTGCGGAGCGCCTCGTATCCCGCGAAGTCGACACCATCTTGCGAGACAGTAACTTCCAAGCAAACCTCATTGTTTTTGGCATCAACAAGACCCATCTTCTTGTTCCGTGGGGCAAAGACTTCCGCAAAGTGTATCGCCAAATCGCACTCCTTCGGTTCCGTCTTCCCGACCACACTGCGCTCGTTGCCGCTTCAGCCACACTTTCCGAAGAGGATGACTATGTTGCCCTCCTTGCCGCACTCAAGCTCGACGCCAACGAGGTTCACTGCATTCGGCTTTCCTGCAAGCGACCAAATGTGCGCGCCGTCTTCCGCTATCTCTCACACACCCTCGGCAGCTACCAATTCCCCGACACTAAGTATTGAGCACCGTTGCTGATGTCGTCTTTCAGGTCACGTAAAGTCTGGGTACGCATCGCCCATAGAGCTTCATAGACCGTCGAGTTCCGACCTCATGCAGTGTACCAAACACCGCCGTCAATTTCTCTGCATCACTTCGGCCTTTGCGTCGCGTCGAACTTGGCCCCGCTTGAGGGGCTATGAGAGTGGTAGAGTCTGAAGAAAACGGGAGTGGATCTTCAGGGAGAGGCGGTTCATTGGCATTATCATCTTCTCGGGGTGCAGTATTATCCATGATAGTTTTATTGGAAGTTTCTACGCTACGGTACACAGGCTATTCGATGTACGAGACATTGAGGAGGACTAGTCTCAGACATATAGCCCCTAACGAGATTAGATTAGATATAATTCCACCCCACGTGATGTTCAACAATGGTTGAAAGTTCGTTGATCACGACCGAACAAAGCCGAATTGACCCACCCACCAAAGGGCCCGCAAATCGGAACAGACCTTATATCAGATACAATCGACTATCATTTGTATCTATTTGGTCTGTCTAGGGAGACTAGGTACCAATTGCAAAGTATGGGCGGCATTTGCGGACCGATATAAGCGAACAGTCTTGGCATGCCAAGAGAATTATCCTAACAACAACCCGTCTGAACAGCAAGATCGACGCCTCTTTCTTCTTGACCATCTGCTGGCCGGCCGCTCTTTACTTTCTTTTTATTTCCAAGGACCGGTTCCATTCACTTCTAGTTCAATATGGCATGGGCATCTCGACCTCGACGGAATAGCATGTCTTCTATGGGATCTGGATCTGGTCTGCTCTCGTTGGACAGTCGGCCAAATAGTGCTTACGGTGCTGCGAGAGTTGGGTCGTTGGCTGGGAGCAGGAGTGGCGGGAAGGTACGTTTCCTACGACTATGCTTTCCGGCATTTGAAGTCTGACTCGATACCATGTCGCAGAGTTTAGTGATGGAGAAGGTACACTTGCGTTACGAAGATCTGGCCGAATTCATTATTCTCATTCCAATGGCTTATCCGATAGTACTCCCTCGGTCCCTCACCTGAAGAATGGGGCCTTCCTCTGTACATCCAAGAGACTGATGATGCACTGCACGATCCCCGAACTCTGGATGATTCCAGAGGGCACGTCTTTACGTGGCGCGGATTCACTAACCTGGGGTGCTTGGTTCTTCTGGGAGTCGGTTGCGTGGCATTATTGTGCGTCCCTCCTGCTGCTCCGCCCCGCTTTACTGATGGTTTCCTCTCACTATAAATAGCGCTGGTGAGTGTTGATCGCCATATAACCCACGTGGTCTCATGTTCACGTCCGGACAGCCTACCCCATGGTCAGCAGCTTCATGGAGCGGAGACTGACGACGCAAGGAGGATTCAACCTGGGTGGGATCAACGCGACGGGCCAGCTGCCTGACCTCCCCGGGAACTTCCAAATGATCGACCGTGACACGCCGCGGGAGGCCTACACGAAGCCTTCGTATCGTAACCCGGCGGAGGAGATGGTTCTAGTGTTCTCGGATGAGTTTAACATGGACGGACGGACGTTTTATCCTGGTGACGATCCGTTCTGGGAGGCTGTCGACCTTCATTACTGGGGAACGGTGAGTGTCATGCAGGGTCTCTCGAGCATAAGAAATGACAACAAGATTTTGTAGAACGATCTTGAGTGGTACGACCCTGTGCAAGGTGAGTCCATGTAGTGCACATTCTATCTGGTTATCTGAAACCTGGGCTTGCGAACAGCCACAACAGAAGGCGGGTCCTTGAGACTGAAGATCGAACGAGCCAACCCGGAGGACAACCACAACATGAACTATCGATCGGGAATGGTGGGTTACTCCCCCCACATGCTCTTTGGACATCGGTTGACCTGATGCGATGAATATTCAGATTCAATCATGGTGAGTTATGCTGGTCCGACACCAAAACTTGGACGCGAAATTTGTTCTTCCTTAGGAACAAGTTCTGCTTCACCGGCGGTATATTGGAAGGTGCGCGCGGTTGGCGTTAACAAAATTAATTTCAAGCTAAATTGTTCTCGAACCAGCATCTGTCCAACTCCCGGGATCGTCGATAGTCAGGTCAGTGATTCAATTCCTTTCCATAGAGGTCTTATTCTCATATCTCTTGAAAAATAGTGGTCTCTGGCCTGCTGTGTGAGTTCAGATTTGAAGGATATTTGATATCCATGATTAACATATTGCTATCACGCTCCGTTAGCTGGGCAATGGGCAACCTAGGTACGGGTTCCCTCGAAATAATACCGACCCACGATGCTAATTCGTTCCGTCCGGCTGTCTCAGGTCGCGCTGGATATGGTGGCAGCCTCGAAGGAATGGTACGTCTCCGTGATTCCTCTCAAAGCTTGCTCACAGGTGTTTATTGTTATTCTAGTGGCCATATTCGTACGACACCTGCGACATTGGCACCCTTATCAATCAGACGAACCCCGACGGAAGTAAAACCCCCATCGCGGCGTGGACCAACGGAGACCCGAAGTTCGACGGACAGCTGGTGCGTCTCCCTTCACCTCCACTAGCAGAGTGATTGATCACCATTTCATCTACTTTTCAACCATTTAGTCTATGCTCCCCGGTCAGAAGCTCTGTACGTCCATCTCTCAAACCTAGCTTGTACTCACGACTGAGGTACTTTTTCCGTTCGTCCAGCTGCGTGCACTTGTGCGGGCGAGGACCATCCAGGACCGAAGAGACCAGACGGGACGTTCGTCGGCCGTGCTGCTCCTGAGATCGATGTCATCGAGGCCATCGTCGACAACGAAGAGGGTTTTGTGTCCTTGTCAGCTCAGTGGGCTCCTTACAATGTGCGTGGTATCATAGCATCGGGAACTGGGGATAAACTAATGGTCGTGGTGATTAGGCACGCTACATCCCCCTCAACGATTCGGAGCATTTCATCATCCACAACGAGGACACGATCCAGAACTCCTTCATTGGCGGTTTGTATTCCATCCTGTCTCCAACCACATCGCATTGACAAATTGCTTCCTTCACCTCTCCAGGTGGCTTCCAGCAAACAACGAGCGGTCTCGCACGCACGAACCAGAACTGCTACGAGCTCGGGACGGGTTGTTATGCCGTGTACGCCTTCGAGTACAAGCCCGGGTTCGACGAGGGCTACATCACCTGGGTGAACGACAACAAGCTCTCGTGGACGCAGCTCGGGACGAGCATGGAGGCGGACCCTGTTGCGGATATTGGGAGACGGGTGGTCTCGCAGGAGCCGATGGTAGGTTCTCTCACTGTGTAACTTCGCTGTGCCGAGTGTTGACGGCATTTTTCTTGATGCAGTATATCATTGCTAACCTGGGCCTCTCGTTGGGCTTCGGCACCGTCGATTTTGAGCGCCTCATCTTCCCGGCAGTCATGAGCGTCGACTATATCCGGGTGTACCAGCCTGCAGGACAGATCAACGTTGGCTGCGATCCGAAGGACTTCCCTACTGCAGCATATATCGAGAAGTGAGTAATTCCTTTTTTGGGGGCCACAACGTTGACTCGTTTGTGTATAGACACAAGAAGGCTTATACGAACGCGAACCTCACGAGATGGGAGACGGAGGTCAAGGAGCCATGGCCGAAGAACAGGCTTGTTGACCAGTGCTAGGCGCTAGACGCTGAATGTTGCTACACGGCTTTCCACAACGTTGCTCTTGACCTGTTAAATGTATCGTTATAGCATGCATCTTTCATTTTGTTGCACCTGATGACGAACTTACCGTTGTAACACTCACATTCTTTATACTTACTCTGGCAGTAACTAAAGCTACTGTTGTTGTATTTTACACTTATTTGCTCGCTTTCTGCTCTCCATTTGTCTGAGTACGTGATCGCATAAATACACTTTACTGCTCAGCACAACTCCTACTTCGACCGTGATTGCAGTTGGAGCATATTCAACGTCTTACAATTTCCAAGCACTAAAAGCGCCCCCGAAGAGAGCCAAAGAGACGAAGTTGCAGGTCACATGCGCGACTGAGTCAAAACTCAACCAACAACGTTCTCAGAATCTCGAACCTCTATAGAAGTCATCCATCTTATTATTGCCTGTACATGTCGAACATGTCAAAGACGAATCAAGACTGCAGTCCTATCCCAATTTCTCCTAGACTACCTCCCGAGCTTGAGCGAGAGATTTTCGAGATCGCTGCCTATCAAGACCTGGGCATGTAGTGCATATCAACTTCTGTTCGTGGCAAAGAGGGTTTACCAATGGTAAGAGGGTTATTCGTTCCTTCTTGACAATAGACAACTCCATTCGATTCTTCGCAGGAAACAATGGTTTACAGAGTGCTGTTGAGGTATACCGCTGCTGAAGTTCGGAGGCGAATCGAGCCCCGTATCCACTTCTCGAACAATTTGAAGCTGGCCAAGATCCTTCTCGTCTAAAACAAGTCTCCTCTTATACTAAACAGGCTGTAATAAATGTCAGTTGTATTTTTCGGGATTGGGCCGGGGAAGCAGTGTTAGTGTTGAATTAGCGGACAAGGATGTTATGGGCCAAGTAACACAAAAAAATATTACAAATAGAACACAGATAGAAAACATCAATACTATCCCCAGCTAGTCAGAACGCTGCCAGTAGGGATGTGCGGCGAGACGATTTCGGGAGGGTGATTCGCTGAGTGCACCACATCCAGTCATGAAGATAAGTTCCCCTGAACTTTCAGTGTTTGCAGCCTTCTGAGTTCTTACTACTTAAGTACTTTGTAGGGACTTGGAGTCCTAATCCAAGATGTGTGATCGACGCGGCCCAATTTGGTGTCCTGGCTGCTTCTTTAGGAAATGGAAATGCGGACGCAACGTCTCCTCACATGTCCTTGTTCTGTGAGCGTGGGTACGCTGCGCTCCCGGTGGGGGCGCACGCTCCGATCTTGGACGCACAGTACGCTTGGAGTAGTCTACTGCCACCAGCGAGCTCTTTCGTCGGAGTCGGTGAGAACTTAGAAGGCCACCACTCCGTGTAAATGGTTCTCCCCCACAGGTTGAACCCGGAACCGAACGGGGAGTTCAGGTTCGGTTTAGGTTTCGTGGATGTGAACACTGCGGATAGTCAAAACGTCACAATGCACCCCCTAAACAGTATTATTGTATTTTTGGGAGTCACAGCGCACCCTCTCGGCAATAACCGCTTTTGCGACGTCATAGAACACCTGCCAGGAAACGTCACATTTACACTCCGAAGCAATACCAACTTCATGGGGGTCATCTGCACCCCCCTTAGTCTGTTAATGTTCAAAGGATCAAAAAACAACATTATAAAATTGTTCATCTTCTATTTTCGACACTCTGCTCGTGCAGAGTGGCTTGGGGGCCATAGGCGTACGTGCAAACCAATGCTGGCCCTAAGTCTGCGACTTCCAACTCTGCTCGCCTCGATCCCGAAAGCGTGAGTCTTATGCTTTGAACACCTGCGCCTGCGGCCGATTAATTTAAATATGAATAGTTCAATATTGTCTGTGCTTGGGACACCCGAGTAAATCGAGTCGATTTCGGGCCCACAGATGACGGGTGTCACTTTGTCAGACTCGGCCGCAGCGTCGCGGACTTAGCCTTTTGGAGCAGTCATTGCCAAAAGCGGCTGATAGAGCTATTTATATTGGTAAAATTGATTCTTTCCATAGAGATTTTGGCTCAACGGTGAGAGTGGCTGTTGGTTATGGCCAGTGCTTGTGTTCGAACCCTGCCTGTACCTTGCAGGAATTTGTTATATTTTAGCAACGTGGGAGGTTCAAAATACCCCCTAAAAAGCGGTAACCATGCGACTGAAAAACGGGGTAATTTGGTCCGGTGTCACTGGGGGTTCATATTACCCTCCCCACTATTCACAGTGTGAATGATAGGGGCTTCGGGGATTGCCGAGAGCGGTTACACACCCCGATACAGAAGCTACGTACCCTAAAATATCCACAAAGGTGGGTAATCATTTTTTCCCAACTCCCTTGCGAAATCTACACAAGTTTGTCTCGAAAAGGCCCTTTTATTGACCCTTTTGGCTTGCAGGTTCCAACCCGTTCGAACCTGTTCAGCGAGGCGTGAACCGAGAACTGGACTTTCGGTCCAGTTCAGCACTTTCGTCGAACCTGGGACAGAACATCGAGTCCGGTTCTGGCCAGTTCAGGATCGAACCGAAGTTCAGGACTGAGCTCTGACACCACTAGTGGGAGCGCACACTTCGATCTAGGACCCACGGGCAAGCGTACGCTTCGAATATGCTACTGCCACCAGCGAACTCTTTCGTTGGCTAGAAGGTCACCGGTCACCCCTCTATATAATCCGATATTTGTCCGTTAATCTAACCTCACAGCACACGGTCGACCTTTGCGCTCGGTCACAACGTCCCACTAGCAAAATCTGGACCTCTTCTTCGAAGGTGTAGAGAAATCCAGAAGCCCGAATATCAAGAAACAACGTCACCAGAGCTGAATCATGACCATGAATGGCATTCGCACGTTGAAGGCACCGAACACGCAGATTGGAGACCAATGAACTTGGATGGCATATGAGCCTAGGGTCGCCTGGGGCGAGGAGACGGCTTTGAGGTATTTACGAAGAAGCGTTCTTTCGTGATCGGCAAACCTGAATGGCACAAAACTGGGGTACGCAGGTGTCTCGTTCTTCTTTCCCAAATAGTCAGAGTTAGAAGGGGTCAAGTGTGCTCTAGGCATCGTTCGAGAACTCACCAATCTGAAGAACACCCTTTGCTGGCGTTCTTGTTTAGGCCGTAAATATTTAAATAGTAATGCATTGAATCAGGGCCTCGTCGTCTGTCAGTGTCACACCTTCCTCAGCAAGGATCACCGCCTACGAGACAGACACCTACCACCGTTTCTCACAACGTGTGACTTCGAGCCAGTTTTCAGAGAACGAGTGATCCGCAATCTGTCAAAAGCTTGAGATCTTGTTGTTCTGCTCAGGATACAAATAGGGCTCTCAAATTCAGCTTCTCACCAGCTTGTACCATTGCTCCCCCCCGTCCGTGGTAGAACCAATGTATCCAAGCACCGCTTTCTTGCGCTGGATTGCCCTCGTCCCCTTCGTTTTTTCTCAGGTTGACCAGACCTCTACAGTGTCCAGCACCCTGGTAGCTCTACCATTTGTATCAAGCGTGTCTACCGTTTCTGTGTCGGCTATCCCATCAGCCTCCGTCTCGCCCTCTTCAGTGTCGAATTCGGTCGCGGTAGTGACTCAGATGACCTTCGATCCGTCATCACCACGCACAACGTTCGTACCCTTCCCGCCTCCTCCGGATACCCCCGTTCAACATATCTACCCTACGGCTGATCCTCTCAACCCAACCGAGGTGAATCTCGCCCAATTTCGTGGGATACTCATTGGAATGTTGGCCTTTCTTGTCACCCTACATAGGTTGGAAGTCGTGCAATTCCGAATTTTGGACAAGCTTGGGCGTCTTCATGGTCCAAAGCAAAGGCAAAAGTGAGTGCCTTGTTTGGCGCTCAACGCTTCGAGCGCGTGTGGATCGACATAGCGATCGGGGCGCACGTGGGAATGACACCACCCTTGCTTCCCACGTTTCCTCCTTGTTTGGTGTCTCCAGACTGACCATGCAACCTCCTAGATTGCCAACTTCACACTCGAAGAAAAGGTCAGTGTGACGACTGGAGCTGGTTGGGAAAATGACCGCTGTGTCGTACGTACTTTGCTTTCCTTGGTGTCCAGCTCGCCTGATGTTTTGCAACAAAAGGGAAACATCCCTGGAATAGAACCTCACGACGGGCGTGGATGGCCAGGTCTTTGCCTCGAGGTTCGTTTCATCTCTTGTTCTGTCTGAAAACTGAAGTAATCTGTGACGTCTACACTTAGGACTCCCCTCTTGGAGTACGTTACGCCGACTTCGTCACCGCCTTCCCGACTGGAATTAACACTGCCGCATCGTGGGTTTCCCTTCGCGGTCTCGAAAATGTCGGGATGTTAAGATTCCATATAGATTCAGCCGACGCTTTATGCGCCTCCGCGGCCTCTACATGGGACGCGAGTTCGTGGGGAAAGGAGTGAACGTCGCGCTTGGACCTACAATGAACATGGGACGCGTGGCTCAAGGTGGTCGAAACTGGGAAGGCTTTGGCGGTGACCCGTTCCTCGCCGGCGAAGCATCCTACGAAACTATTCTGGGTCTACAAGAGGCTGGCGTCATTGCATGTGCGAAGCACCTGGTTGGCAAGTAAGTGTCCCAGACCACGCATTGTGACTGCGAAGGCTGACCTCGAAGCTCAGTGAGCAAGAAATCAAGCGACGGCTATCGAGCTCCGAAATCGACGATAGGACTATGCACGAGATTTATGCACACCCATTCCTTAAGAGCGTCATGGCGGGTGTTGGCAGCATGATGTGCGGCCACAGTGCGTTCGATTTTATCTTTCCTTACTTTGAAACTTTACTGATTAATTGCTTTAAAAATGAAGACCAGGTCAACGGTACGTATGCCTGCGATAATGACAAGATGATGAACGACATTGTGAAAAGGGAGTTCGGGTTCCAAGGGTGTGAGTTCATTTTCGTTGGACATCTTTCTGTATATTTACTAGTCGACGGCAACAGTCATCTTGTCGGACTGGAACACGTGAGTACTCCTTCTCGGTCTTCCCCCATTTCTACTCAGATAGTGACGTCTCCGACAACTATAGCCAGATGTGGACGAGTTCTGCCACTAGTGGTTTAGATGTATGCTTTCAATTCCTACCTTACGCGAGCACTGGTGTTCAGACGGATTAGATGGCAATGCCTGGTGACATCGGTTTCAACCATAACCCTAATACCTCGTACTTCGGTGGCAACCTCACTGCCTACGTGAACGATGGTACTATTGCCGAAGCACTCGTCGACGACATGGGTTAGTTCTCTGCGTGAACTCTCGGCCGCATTCCCTCACCCCAAATTTTAGCCACCCGTATCATCGCCTCCTGGTACCTCCTCCATCAAGACAGGCCCTCCTTCCCAGCCGTCAACTTCAACGCCTTCGACCTTGAGGACGACGCCACCAACCTGCATGTCGATGTCGAAGAAGATCACCATAAACTGGTCCGCGAACTCGGCGCAGCAAGCACCGTCCTGCTCAAGAACGAGAAGGGTGTACTTCCCCTCGGCAGGAAGGACAGAAGTATCGTCCTCGTCGGGAGCGGTGCTGATCGCGGACGCGCTGGCCCGAACGTGTTCCGTGATCATGCAGGCTTGGACGGTGCGCTCGGCATGGGCTGGGGTTCTGGAACGGCGAGGTACCCGTATCTCGTCCCGCCTATCGATGCTATCCAGCGCGAGGCGAGGAAGTTCAGGACAAGTGTTAGCTATGCATTCGATGACTTCGATTTGGAGACGGCTGGGAGAATGTCGAGGAAACAGTCTGCGGCTCTTGTTTTCGTGATGGCCAATAGCGGCGAGCAGTACCTTACTGTCGACGGTAACGTCGGCGATCGGTGGGTCGAACTTTATCATAGTGACAACCCTGGCTGAGTTTTGATACTCCTAGCAACAATTTGACAGCGTGGAGGGGTGGAGACGAGCTCATTGCCGCCGTTGCAGCCCAGAATAACAACACGATTGTCATCGTAAACAGCGTTGGGCCGATCATCATGGAATCGTGGATCGACCATCCAAATGTCACCGCTGTAAGTGTCATGCATGGTTGTCTCCCCTCAGCAATATCTCATTCAAGTTTGCAATATCATGTAGGTGCTTTGGGCCGGTGTGCCAGGACAAGAAATTGGCAACTCGATCGCCGATGTTCTATACGGTGCTTGGAACCCCTCTGGCCGACTCCCATACACGATCGCGAAGAGGGCCGAGGATTACGGCGCGCAGATCGTCACAGGCGGCGGTCCTCAGGATATCATCAGCATTCCATATACCGAAGGCCTGGAGATAGATTACCGTCATTTTGATGCAGTAAGTCTCCTTCATTTGCGATCTTTTGCTTTGGCATGTTCCTCAATATTTTCTGTAGCGTAATATCACCCCGCGGTTTGAGTTCGGGTTCGGGTTGAGTTACACGGAGTTCTCGTACAGTGGCTTGCAGCTCAGCAAGATCGAGAGTGCCGTCAGCTCGCCTGATCCCCCGTTGGTTGAGGCATGGGAGAGGGGAGATGCAACTCCCATTTCTGTCGGCTCTTCTAGGGCTATCTGGTGCGTACCTCCGTAAGTTCGAATATGCTAAGTATCTTCTGATTCCTCCTCCAGGCTACACACCCCGGCATATGAAGCAATTTTCACCGTTCGCAACACAGGTCGCATCCCCGGTGCCGAGGTCCGTCCCTTCCTCCTTCCTCTCATTCCTTGCTAATCCACATCTCCTTAGATCCCCCAACTCTACCTGAACTTCCCCGCATCCGCCGGCGAGCCGCCCTTGGTCCTCAGAGGCTTCGCCGACGTCTTCCTCGGTCCAGGCAAGAGCAGGACGCTGACGATTACGCTCTCGAGGTATGACTTATCAATCTGGGACGTTGAGAAGCAGGGATGGAGGAAGCCCTCGGGACAATTTGGTGTTGTGATTGGCACGAGCAGTCGCGATGCGCGTTTGAGGGGCACTGTACCAGTGTAATTCCACGCTCAACTCTTCTCTTATTTAAAGCATCGCCCTATCCTGTTATATTCTTTTTTTTCACTCGCCTTAATGCTGTCACTATCCCATGTTGTGCATCCAGAGCCAATCGACCCAACTGAAATGTAAGGAAACATAACTGGTACATCCAAGATCTTCCCCCATCTCCTTCCTGACCCGAAACCTCGAAATCAGATTTGTTTCCCTTATTGCCAGATTGTGAACAAGCGTTGTTGAAACTGGGGCTCCTGACGTCGGCTCCAAGGAGGAGCTGGAACGTCATGGCGGCTGTTGTTCAGGAAATTGTCGTTTGTTGGTTTGACTGGTAGGACGTGGTCAGGCCCTACCGTACTAGGGCCATAATTGCCTAGAAATGGAGAGTGTGTCGATCCACCCCACCTCCTCCACCATTCTCGCCGGACTGCAACCCAATCATCGTACAGCATACCATCATCATTCCCGATGTCGATAACATCTCCATCATCGCAATAGGCAATGAAAACTCGACCGAAGAGATCGGGTCTCTCATCGAAAATGAGCCACTCCGAACCATGTGAGGTTCTCCAGGTCAAGAGTGCTGGTACCAATTCGACTTTGGGATTCGGCCATTCATCGTTGGTACGGATGAGAGTGGATAGTTGTGGTGGCTTTTTTGCGAGAAAGTTGATGCCATCTCTGCGTTGGATGGTCTTCGTTGGACAGTCGACAAAGGGCAACCCAGGCCAGCAGTCGATGACGACTCGCTCTGGCCATTCAAGGATATAAAAATAAAAATCGGGTGGGATATATGTGTGCTGGCGTAGGAGGGCGTTGATGTACTCCCTCCGGTCGAAAGGCTTGACATTATCGAGTGTCCATGGGCGCGTGTAAAAGAAGTAACGAGAATTGATTAAAGTATCGTAGAGGTGCAACAGCCTCCGGCGCGCAGGAATGATGTTTGCGATGCCAACAAGACGTCGCCATTCCATGGAGACCCCGCGCGATACAATTAGGGCTTTGAGTGACATGAAAGAGAAGCAGTGAAGGAGGAGTTCGACAGGAAGAGGTCCGAGGGTGTGGAAGCTTGGGTATGGAGATGAATCTTCACGTAGGAAGAGCTTCGATACAGCTTCCTCGTCTATGTAGTGGGTTTCACGGAAAGGAGAAGAATGAGGTTTCTGCACTGGCGGCGCATCCCTATCCTTGGAAGCTGACGAGTGACGTTGGCCCATCGCTGTTCGTGGTGGCTTCGTGGTGGCCTGAACTTGTGTGTTAGTTAGAAACAACCAAGTACGAGTCATGTCGTTATGCTTTGTCAGCATGAAAGCAGGCGCAAATAAGATGACAGCCCCAATAAGCCTAAACTGATTGAGATAAGATGATCTGCCCGGCGCTAAACGCGATTCCCAGCGCTTCTTCGAAATATGGACACTTTTGACAATCTACATAGAGGTGAAATCTTCAGAAATCTTCAACTCTGGCTCTTGAAGTAACTTCCATGCCTCCCTGGACTTTCTATCACGAGCGCCTATTCTGACTCTTGCGCGTCCACAGCAAAACTAAAGGATTCTCCGATGTTCTCTCGCTGTCATCAATAGAATCAGCCATGTCTCGATGGGATATCTCTTATCCGATGCGCCCACACGGGCGAGACTGCCTATCACAAGAACCAAGAACCCCAAAACAAGTCTCAGACGCCTTAGTCTAACACCGCGAGGTAGCCGCGTGTCGGCTTTGACGGTGAGTGACTCAGATAATGGTCAAAACCTCGCACAGTTAATCAGGTATCGATGGCACCTCCTTTCGGTTTAAGGGGGGTGAATGACTCACGCAACCCTGTCTTCTCGAAATGGCCAATGGGATCCTCCTATAAAATACAGCACGCAAATACAGCACGCAAGTTCTTTTTCTTTCCAATGGGCTGTCTGCTTTTCTCATTCTGACATGTACTCCTACAACGGTAACATGTACGCCAACAGTGACACGTATTATGCCAACAGCACGCACCCGAGCAACAGCGCGCATCCCGGTGGCAACGCGTATGCCAACACCAGCCATTTCTATTCACCCACCACCATGCCGGCCCCCAATGGGCTCGTCTATCCAAACAGCCCCATGTATCCCACCAGCAGCAACATTAATCCGGCTATTGGACCAGGAAATATTCTTCCCAACAGTGTGTGATATATTTATCGCGCCGTTATAGTCGCCTAACTTGTTTGAAGGTGCCCTTGGAGCCCATCGGGCGCTTCCCCACTTCCCCACGCGTCCATACAATTATGAAGACCCGAATTATCTTGACGCCCTTGTCGCCAAGTGGCGATCCTTAGGACGTATCCCAGTTGAAATGACAGAGCCATCCCTTTTGCACTCATTCGCCTTCACTCTTGAACATCGTGATTTGGTCCCAAGCAGCAATTCAAACGGGCAGATTACTCAGGAGCAAAATCTCAGGAACCTCTTGACTGCGATCTACCACAGCTCTTCCTACCCTAATGGAATATCTAGGGCCTACACCGTTTACACCGTTGCATATTCGGTTCTTAACATTGGGTTGCCTGCTGCATATGGCAACTCGGCTCCTAGGGGTAACACCCGACCAAGAGTTGAGCAAGATGCAAAGGAGAGAGATATCCAGTACCGGCTCGTGTACGCCTACCCTGGTGAGCGCCTACCTGAGCGAAGCGAGACCGGTTGGCCAGAACCTCTCCAATGTGGCGAAATGCTCTCCCTTCCAGGAGTATTCCAGAGGCTTGAGAACTACAAAGGCGAGAAGATTCTGATTAACTCGCTTGCACTGCAGTACAGGGGTAGAAAACAAGGATTCTGCGAGAATTGTGCCTTGTACGTCACGGATACCGTGATAACCTTTCCTGGTTTGCGGGTGGTGGACGAGGCAACCGGAATCATCTATCAGTCCAAAGCTACGGTGTGTCCTTTTCATGGCGTCGTCTTCTTCCTCATGTTGTTGCGCCGGTCGTTTATAGAGAGGCATTTGGGGGGACGGGATAATCAGCCATGTGGAAGCTATTCAGAAAACGAGGATACGTGAATCTTACCGCCCGCATTACAACGGTAGCCCCGAACATCGAGTTTAACAAATTTCTACAAACTGCCTTTATGGAGGTTGTCATACTTCAGAAATATTGTGCCGAATTCATTCTTTTTTTAATCTTTTGTTGACGGATGATCAGTAAAATACAAGGACGAGCGGCAAAAGGGGCAGTAGCCGAAAAGTTGGCAATGTGTCGTCTTAGAGTATTTCAAGCAGAATCTATTTATAGCCCTACTTCGAGGAAAGTGCCTCGCCGAACGTCCGTTTCAGTCGTAATTTACATGCCTCGAGACCTGGAATACTATGGCGGGGTCTGCTGCACCAATTCTGTTCAGGAACAAGAATCATACGCCTCCTGTACTAGAATTTAATAGGAGTATATTATATCATACGCGTGGTGCTTCAGCTTGCGCAATGTTCTCGTTTCCTGATTTCCTTGACAAGTTCTGCATGAGCATGTCAACCCTACTCTTGATCTCCTTCCAAGGTTTCCTCGTCTCCTTCATCCAGGATCATGCCCTCCCCGCGTTGGTTTACGATGGAGATATCCACCACGCCAGTTTCCCGTGCGACCCTAAGAAACGCAACATTGTCCTTTGGAATATAAGGGCGTCCCAATAATTGAAGTCATGTACCCTTCTATCGCATTGACCTAAGATAATGAGCTTGACCTGGCCGAGGACTAAATGTGTTCCATCGCCGTGAGGCCTTCCGTAGATTGTGAGAGAAAGAGGCACTCGACCAGAACGCGAAAACCACTCCCGCACAAACTGGGAGCACTGGTAATTATGTCAGCTGAAGCTGATGCCCACTAGTTGATGTCCAGAGGTGAGGGGTAGACTACACAATATCATGCTACGTTCAGCAGACGATCGCGAGATCCCATGGTGTTACACGACGTGGTGAAGGGTCTTCGTGATTTTCGCGAACTCGCGAGAGAAAGGACGGTTCGTTCGAGGGTGTTGGCGACACTGTATACGCGATGGATAACACAAAGATACGGGTTACGAGTACGACAGGGAGGCGAGTGACCATCAGAACGTGGTGAATATTCCTCTTGAATTTAAGGTCCATGCGGCTTCGTCCCGAGACATCTATATCGTCGAGCTGTCCACATGCGCCACTCGAGCCGCATGGAGAATCGTCTCACCTGTCGATGGACATGTTTTATGTAGAAGATGCGAGCAAAGTTGGAGCTGGTTGGAACGATTGAAATTTTGGGCATGAGAAAGTGGTTCGACAGCGTAAATAAGCGGCTCGGACGGGCCGCTTGATTCTCGCTCTAAAAGTGCTCCAATTTCGAAGAGCGTCCTGACCCTTGGGTTTAACGAAGGCGTTTCATTTTTGAAGTTCAAAACAATTTTTTCACAAGACTTGTGATTCAATGCATGCAAGGGGTAGGACGTCCAGCACAATTATTTACTCCCGTAGTTCATCCGACCTAACGGGGTTTTAACTCAAAATGAGCGCGAAGTCTAGTGTTCGAGGAGAATTAGATAAATAATCTGTAAAAATCATAACATGGTCCTGAAATTTTCTGACATGTCGAGACCCAATCATGTAGTAGTCGGTCTTGGATGCGCCACGGACGTACTGCATTTGGAAGCTTCCTTACTGAAATAGGAAAGATGATACACCCCTTGCAAACCACCAGCAGAAAAGAACCTTTTCTTCGCTCTGGAGATAGGCGAACGGCGATGATGACAAATTGGTCTAGCAAAACGGAAAAAATGTTGAAACAAGGACGCGTGGGAACGGGGGTCATCATGCCGTTTTGTGAGAGAAAATCCCTTGGAAAAGAAGGTTTCTCGAAAAGAATATGGGGACTAGACAAGTACTATACAACCCTAGAATGTCTTCGTGTACATTATTATCACGCCCATATTCTCGTCTGCCGTGTTCTTTACCAAGAGAAAGCTGACTGTGCCATCCAGTCCCAAACCCTAAATGAAAATAAAAGGACACGCCACATTGAATGGGGAAGGATCGTCCAGCTTCCCGTGCTGATTAATTGTCTATTCGCATAGGAAGAGACGATCCTACACTCACCATGCGCGCGTCGATCTTCGTCCAAATGCCTGCCAAATGTACCTCGCAGTTCTTATCGATGAACACCGAAAGTCGCATTGGTTTCCGGCACTTCTGTTTTACCACCAAGCTGTACGAACGTTTCTAGGCTGAGAAACCAGAGCTGAACAGCTCGTTATTCAAGATGTAGGTCCCGAGAGCCGGTGACTCAAAAGCGTCACAAGGTGAGTGCATTCCGAGGTTTTTCCGTGGCTCGTCTGGTCAGTCGGACTTAACCGGCCCTCGCATGAATAGTATTGCACCCCGGACCTTCCTTACGTTTACCATTTTACTTCTTTTGCCTGGACTGCCCTTGACAGGATCGACACACCACTCAGGCGCCCGAGCGGCCTAAAAATTCTCGGAAACCGATTTGTTCATCGAATCACCTCCAGGTAGATCCCGTCGTAAGGCACTCGTTGGCTGCCTTCCAGACAACCTCTACTCTTCCTCGCTTCTCCTTCTCTGGTGACGTCAAAGACTTTGTAGAATGAGGGCTCCGCGAAGTTCGCGTGCCGGCCGATCAGAGCATTGGGTTGTGGGGGCGGGGGTGGGGGATTGGTTATGTGCATTATGTCATGGAGAAGAAGCTCAGGCTTAGGAACCAAGGCATTTAGACTTGCCACATGGAATCTGCATGGAATGCCGCGGATGGCCAGGCATCGAACCCTCTTTCGTCCGTAGAACCGGGTGCTCCAGTCAGTTGGATCTCTGATGACTGAGATTTTTCTCGCTAGTGGGGATGAAGAAGCAGCACAGCTGAAGAGGTAAAATGATGCGCTCGGATGTGCTAGTTGGTCGTCAGTCCGAAGGCTTCTCGAATGTATGAGATGGAAGTTGCGCTTTCGTGATGGGCCACTTCGTCCTAGGCCAATCATCAGAAAAGGTAGCAGACTTGAGCTTGGGTTAACCCCTGTTGACCCAAGGTTGACCACCAGACCCGCACCGACCGTAGGGTGCGCATGCCAGCTTCATGTCTGTGTTGAGTCCGATTTTCATCACAGTGGGGCTTCTTACCAACATGGTTCGTTTGCAAAATCAACGACGATGCGGACAACCGGGAGACATGTGATGGCTCCTTTGAGGTACTAGGCGCCAATATCAGCAGACCTGTCTTGTATTTCAGCTTGGGAGAGGTTTATAAGTCCAACCGTCTGGGTGGAGCCCTCAGGCTTGTTCGCCTTAAGCTTAACCCCTCATCTCTAACGATGCGTCCGAACGTTGCCTTCTGGAATTGGGTCACCCTCGTTCCCTTCGTCGTCGCTCAGACTTCGACCCCCGCTTCCAGCGTCTCAGATCCTGCTACAACTATCTCGGATGTTAGCACAGTCTCCTCTGCAGTTGCCAATGCTACCTCTACGACGGTTTCGGGCGCGGCGGTAACGCAATCTTCGACAACCCCATCGGACCCCGGTTCGACATATGCTCCCTTCCCTCCACCTGCTGATACGCCTCTCCCAATCTATCCCGCGACTGATCCGCTTAGGCCTCCTGAGGTAAGAGCTCAATCGCCATGTCTGTTGCAACGAGAGCTAATGCCCTGTGCGTGATACAGGTTGGAGGACAGGCGGTCCCTAACTTTGGGCCTGCATGGGCGGCTGCATGGAGGCAGGCCAAAGCAAAAGTAAGCATTACTTTCACGGTTTGTGTGAAAATAGACGCGGCGTCTATTCTTGCAGTTGACGCTGTTCACATTTTGGCGCTCGTAGTCGGGGCCACGATCGGATCGGCGACTGGATGACATCATCCGATTTGTCCCGAACTTTCTCCTTCTCTTTCCTTTTTACGTCCACCATGGTTCTGACACGTCATACCCCCAGATTGCCAACTTCACCATCGAGGAGAAAGTTAGCGTAGGCACGGGAACTCTATGGCAGGGAGGTCGCTGCGTTGTATGTCTTTTACCTTCTCTTCGAAAGACATCGGTGACTCACTACCAACTAATAGGGAAACATTGCTTCCATTGAACCCGTAGATGGACGTGGATGGAAAGGACTCTGCCTGATGGTCCGTATAAACATTGGGCTTGCTTTGTTCCTGAACTAAAGGAAACCTTCTCAGGATGGCCCTCTCGGTGTCCGACCCGTTGACTACATCACCGGTTTCCCAACAGGCATCAACACTGCTGCAACGTACGTTTATTTCATGACGGATCGGAGTAGCCCTGTCAACGCTCGACGATTAGATTTAACCGGAACTATATGCGTCTTCGTGGTCTCGCCATGGGACGCGAATTTGTTGGCAAGGGCGTGAACATCGCTCTCAGCCCTATGATGAACATGGGACGCGTAGCCGGAGGAGGACGGAACTGGGAAGGCTTTGGAGGCGACCCTTTCCTTACTGGAGAGGCCGCATACGAAACTATTTTGGGTCTGCAGGAGGGAGGAGTCATTGCCTGTGCAAAGCATTTGGTTGCAAAGTGCGTACAACGGCTCGTTTGTTTTTGCTGGTTAGACTCACAATCCACTTTTCATATAGCGAGCAAGAGCACAAACGCATGACGTCGACTTCGGAAATAGATGATCGAACATTGCATGAAATTTATACCCACCCTTTCCTACGGAGCGTTATGGCCGGTGTCGGCAGCATGATGTGCAGTTACAGTGCGTTCTGTTTTTTTTTCCTGTTAGTATCTGCCTCCAATTCACGGGCGACCTTTCTATCCAGATCAATTGAATGGCACTTATGCCTGCGACAACGACAAGGTCATGAACGATATCGTCAAGAGGGAGTACGGGTACCAAGGATGTGAGTTCCCTCTTCGCCGATCGATATCCTATAGCAATTTTCTGACTGGAGCTACAAGTCATCATGACTGACTGGTTTGCGTGCGTATCCTCTCTACCGTACACAGGCGAACCCTGCTAATGGATGGTTCTTCTGACTACAGCCAACACGATGCTGGCTCTGTTTCGAACGGTCTGGATGTAAGTCGTTTCTTGTCTCAATTTTCCCATCAGTGCCTCATTCCATTCCCAGATGTCGATGCCTGGTAACATGATTATCGGCGCCCTTCCTGGCCAGCCAGCACCCGTCCCTTTCGGTGACAACCTAGTTGCAGCTGTCCGAAATGGCGAGATCCCCGAAGCACGCGTCGATGACATGGGTGTGTTTCCGTGCTAACCTTTCGTTCATCAACGTCCTGAACTATATTCCTTGCAGCTATCCGTGTCATTGCTTCATGGTATCTCCTCCACCAAGACAGGTCGTCCTTCCCGGCCGTCAACTTCAATGCGTTCACCCCCGATGACGACGCCACAAATCTCCACGTCGATGTTCAAGACGACCACCACAAGATCGTTCGGGAGATCGGCGCGGCAAGCGCTGTCCTCCTCAAGAACGTGAACGGTGCTCTTCCTCTCGGCAGGAAGAACAGGAACATTGCCCTCATCGGAACCGGCGCTGGCGGTGGCCGTGCAGGTCCGAACCAGTTCGATCTCCAAGCCGGTAGCGACGGTGTTCTCACGATGGGTTGGGGCTCTGGTGCCGCCATCTTGCCATACATCGTCTCGCCCCTGGAAGCGATTCAGCGCGAGGCGAGGAAGTTCCGCACGAGCGTTGACTACTACTTGGACGACTGGAATGTCGACGGTGCAAGTGTTATCGCGAGGAAGAGGTCTGCGGCTCTCGTCTTCATCACTGCCAACAGTGGAGAGGCTCTGAACATTAACGTCGAGGGCACTACCGGTGATAGGTGCGTCTCTTTCGAAAGGTTTTTTCTTTGGTTAACTCAAGTCTTTATACCTGATTAGGCTCAACCTGACCGCCTGGCATAACGGAGAGGCGCTTATCTCTGCTGTTGCTGCAAACAACAACAACACAATTGTCATCGTCAACAGCGTCGGACCCCTCATCGTCGAAGACTGGATTGACCACCCCAACGTGACTGCAGTAAGTTTGTCTCCATTTTCTCGTGCCGTGAATGCAGGCTCACAAGAGATGATAGGTTCTCTGGGCTGGAGTTCCTGGACAGGAAGTTGGAAATGCAATCGCTGACGTTCTTTACGGACACTACAACCCTTCCGGGCGTCTTCCATACACCATAGCGAAGAAGCAGGAGGACTACGGCGCCCAGCTGAACCTGGAAGGTGGCGAGACCGACATCCTCCCTATCCACTATACGGACGGCTTGAACATTGACTACCGTCACTTCGATACCGTGAGTTCATTCGAGCGTCCTCGGGATCTTTCTTAGCCTCATGCCTTGACTGAACAGAACAATATTGCCCCGCGCTTCGAGTTCGGCTTCGGTCTGAGCTACACCAAGTTCACGTACAACGGCTTGCGCGTTAGCAAGATCAATAACGCCGTCAGCGCTGCTGAGCGTCCTTTGGTCGCCGCCTGGGAGAGGGGTGAAGCCACCCCTATTTCTGTCGGTTCTTCAAGAGCTGCGTGGCTGCACATCCCGGCCTACCGTGCCACGTTCTCCGTTCGCAACACTGGCTCTGTCGCTGGTAGCGAGGTGTGTAATATATGTCCATTGGCCTTCGTACACTGAATTAACATAATCTTCTAGATCCCCCAACTTTATATCAACTTCCCCGCCTCCTCCGGCGAGCCTCCCTCCGTTCTCAGGGGATTCACCAACACCGAGCTCCGTGCTGGCGAACAGAAGACCGTTACGATCACCCTCTCGCGATACGACCTCTCAATTTGGGACACTGAGAGGCAGGGCTGGAGGAAGCCCGAGGGACAGTTTGGCGTCACCGTCGGGGCGAGCAGCCGCGATGCTCGTCTGACGGGTTCCGTTCCGTTGTAAGGGCCGCGACGAAGGCTCCAGATTGGTTTTAAAACTTTGATGTACAAAATGTCAGTGGCACGCGAGCGACTCGGTGATTCACCCTGACACCCATGCACAGACGGTGTTTTGAAGCTTTTCTTAAAGTATCTGTACTGTATATCTTGCACGGCAATTGTATGTACTGAGAATGATCAAAGTCCAAAGCATACCCTTGTTTGGAATCAGGGCTCGCTAGATATTTGAGGAGAGTGCTTGGGCAGGACGCTGATAAAATATCTCGTTTGGAAGCATGCAAAGAGAATCAACTGTGGTGCAAGAAGGTTCTTACAACGGGTATCGAGATCCTTCCAGGAATCAAGATCTTTGGGATGGGGTCTACAGTCGTTGTTATGTAAGTCCGCTGCCCCATCTTGGGCAGCGGGCACGACGGCCAATGGCTGGTCGGTTCCTGCTTCCTACGCATTCGGTAAATGCGCCACACTGAACTCCACCAATCATGGTCGGCTGAAGTGATGGTCAAGTTAATTACCTGAGAGCGTCGAAGGCTCGATCCATCAGTGTATCACTTTCCCTAAGGTTTCAACTATCGGATGGTTGGCCTATGGGTGAAGATTATTCCTTGACGTTGACGGCAAAGTTGGTATCAGAAGTGATGAGGAATAACTCCGATCTGTCCATAGCAAGTATGCTCGTCTATCATCGCGCGTGACAGAGGTATAAGGTATAGGGTTCGCAGAGTATCCATATTAGCATACTCATTGCTCAATCTTTCGTCGTCGATGGAGACCTTTTGCACGCGTCCAAATGTACCCGAGCCTGTTGGCAAGATCGCAGTTGAAACAGAGAGTGGTCGAGACCCACCGGATGGATAATATTGCGTTGTTGCTTGAGGTAATGCTCAGATCGTGTCAAGCAGAAAGATTGTTGGAGGAAGACACTGGCTCAACGAACTTCAGCATCCTGATTGGAGACATCACAGACCAACTTCGTTCAGTTTTGATAGGAAGTTGTTACATTGGAGAACAAGAGAGATCCTACATATCAAAATGTGATTCCAAGATCTTCTGGTTTATTGAGCAAGCGCCCTGTTCGACCGCATTTAAGCATGGTTTTGAAACGACGTGAATGCAGGAAGATTACCTTCCATCCCTCCTTCCACCATGAGGACCTGTCCTGTCACATGTCCCGATATCTTGTTGGATGAAAGGATCACGACTTGGTTTGCGATGTCCCCAGGCATGGCCACTTTTTTGAGAGGGGTTCTACAAGAAAGATGAGGTAATGCATAAGAAAGGGCGTAACAGGACCCTACGTTACTAGTGCGGCGTACGTGACGTTTGGATCCTTCAGCGACTCCGTTGCCATAGGCTAGCCAAACGCTGTGTGGGCAACTATGAAAGGTACCAGAAAGTTTCTTACCGTTTTTACCCAGCCCGGCCCAATACAGTTGACTCGCGCCTTGGGAGCGATTTTGACGATCTCATTCTTGAGAGTCATCGTGAGACCATACATCATTGCTAGGCATTGAATTCATTGAGCCGAACGCAGGAAATTTCGAGGAAGCTTACCGCTTTTCGACGAGGCATAGTCGGCGTGGCCCGCTTCACCTGAGAACCAACACTATTCAACATCTGCTTCTAGCAATAAACCGACCGAGGAAACCAACCATATTTTCCAGCTGTGCTCCCAATTAGAATGACGGATGCGTCATCTTTCAGGTCCACGGACATTTTCTTGAGATGCCGCATGTATTCCCTCGCCACGAGAAAAGACGAAGTGAGATTAGAATCGATGGTGCATCTCCACTGGTCCAACGACATGTCCCAGAGATAATTCGTTTCGGCTGTGTATATCGCATGGTTTATGACGAGAATCTGCACAGGTCCGTAGAGTTTCTCCGCCGACTCGAACAGCTGAATGACTTCTTCCTCTTTCGTCAAGTCTGCTTTGATCGTTTGACTACGAGATGACACGAAGTTTTCTAAAGGCTTGACGTTGGTGTTATAATGGGCGGTCACTATGGCACCTTGCTCTATCCGTTGGGTGTCAATGATGTTCCGTGGATAAAAGGGAGAAACGTCGCTCACCGTAGAACACTTCTGCCGTCTCCAGCCCGATTCCCCCGCTCGCACCTGCATGGCACAGAAGACGAGTGTAAACAAGAAAGAAGTTTGATCGACGTCTTCCGTGCCAAACCCCACGTACCAGTGATAAGCACGTGGATGTTCTCCAAACCAAGATCCATCCTTACACACAGCAGACAGAGTATTACAGACCTGGGCAAGAGGGTGCCTTTTACGAAGCGAGATGCAAGCAAGAGGAGAAACTTAAGAGTGAGAACCCATGGGTGAGTCAGAGATATAAACTGTGTCCCTGGCAGTGGCATACACATGATCGATAGCAGTGCACATGGTGTGAAAGTGGGGAAGCCTGTCAAGGAAGAGTAATCGGACCATGGCTTCATGTAGTTCCCGATGCCAAATAGCCTCGAAAGAACGCCGCGACTGTGTATCTTATTTGTCACGAAACTTGAACTGGTACCCATTTCTCGCGAAAGGAAAAAGGACAACAGTTGCGAGGGACGATATTCAGCTTGCAGTTAGACCAGTGGACTTTGTTTCTGGAATTTTTATTTTTGATATGAGGGCCCTACAAACAAGCGATCTCCAGAATCGAGAACGGAAAAGGTTGTCAGACGGCGATGGAACGTTGAGAAAAGCTCTGGGTGGCGTTGCAGCTTTTATTTGGTCTTGCTTTATTTCCAGGGTGATGCCGTCTGACACGTGATGTTCAAGTTGATCGCGATTCACAATTTGAACTCCGCCGCTCACGTCTCTGACCAAGACCACCACCTCTTCACCTTTTTCAACTTCCACAACCGAGTTAACGACAAACATGGTATGTTCAGGTTCTGAATATGTGCGGAAGTTTGCCTAACGCTGTCCGGAAAACAGGTGTCACCAACTGTCCTTCGTCGCGTCATGCGAGAGCTCTCCGAGCTCGAAAAGAACCCTCCTGAAGGCATTCGTATTCAGACCAACGATGAGGACATGATGGACGTTACGGGATTGATAGAAGGACCTGGTGAGCCGCTCGAATGTCTTTACGACGTGCTCGCTGACAAGCGTGGCCACCAGAGGGCACACCATACGCCGGAGGCTACTTCAAGGTCAAGTTCAAATTCACCGACGAGTTCCCTGCTGCACCTCCTAAATGTGAGACCACATTTTCCCGGAACGTGCCGTCGTGAGCTTACACTCCGTTGATTAGGTTGGTTCGCGACCAAGATCTTCCACCCCAACGTCGGCCCAACGGGCGAGATTTGCGTGAACACCCTCAAGAAAGACTGGAAGTCCACGTACGGAATCGGCCACATCCTCGTAACTGTCAAATGTCTCCTCATCTACCCCAACCCGGAGTCGGCGCTCGACGAAGAGGCGGGTAAGCTGCTCCTGGAGGAGTACCAAAGCTACTGCGACCGCGCGAAGCTCATCACGAGCATCCATGCCACCCCACGCGTAAAGCCCGTCGAGTTTAACAAGCCTTCGGTCACTCCGGACGCGTCTGTGGCGTCATCGAGCTCTACGGCCACCCCAGAGCCCTCGTCAACCACTGTGGCCTCGTCCTCGAAGCCACCGTCAGTTACTGCCTCCGTGACCCCCTCCAAGTCCGCCTCCACCCTCTCCACTTCGTCTGCCATGCGTAAATCAGCATCTCCAGCTCCACCGTCATCGTTAAAAGTACCCGAGAAAGACGGCCACAAGGAGCGCCATCCGTCACCATCTCCCCTCAGCACGGCGGACTCTAATGCCGGTAACGGGAAGCCCGGAATGGGCGTTGGCATGGGTATGGCTTCCACGGCTGGCGTGGGCGGTGTGACTGGCACCAAAGCCGTCAAAAGAGCGGCCACGGGCTCAGCAGCTACGAGCGCTGAGAAGAGGAAGAAGGCCCTGAAGAGACTGTAGCTCGCTCCATCTACCCCTCCGTGCGTTACCTGTTCCCTCTGCCTCGGGCTCGGGGTCAGGCCACGGATCATTTGCACCTAATTTCTTCACGGTCACCCCACCATCACATCACTCCTATTATTGCTTTGCTCTCCTGCCGCACTGTTGTACATAAATAATTAGGATACCTCTCGTACTTCACCTCTGCGGTGCCTGTCATGCAAGTTGACTGTCGCTGGTAGATACACACCTATCTCTAATGAAGGACTTTCTTTCTCGGAGCGCCCAGCCGATTGTGCTACAGGTCCCAGGTTCAAACTATGTAAGCCTCCAGCTTCTGGGGACCAGGTCAACGGTTGAACGGACCCTAAATTTCCGCCTTCAATTCCATGGGGCAAGATTGCGCGGAAGCGGGGGTTGCAAAATGAAGCCAAGGCGCGGATGGCACGGGATTGGGTCCGCGTGGGAAGTCCGAGATAAATGCTGTGCAAGTCCCCCTGTCGACGATCGTCTCGCGAGGTGATCCGGGGATAATTTTATTGAGCGCTTAAATCGTTCAGGAAGGGATGGGGTCTGATGGAGTGCACGCACATCCCAGAGACTAGGCTTCAGTTCGAGAGGCGAACAAGGAGGTTTATCGAATTTTTGGGAGGAGTAGAAAGACAAGTTGAAGAAAACAAAGATGATCGCCTGCAGTTCAATTCACATCCTTCCGCAACCGTTGCCCTTTAATGCGCATCCTTTCATCGCGTGCAGCCAGCGGGATATGCTCCATGCTGCCTAATACATTGGGCTGCCGAAATGTCAGCCATACCGACGGCACTAATTCTGTTGTTTTCCCAGAAGAGTTTGCTTCAAGGTATGTCTCGCACCTGCTCGCGACGAAATTGAGTGTATAGATGAAGCTTGTGAAACGTAATCCGCATGCAGGACACAAGAACGAAGCTCGAATTCTAGCACTCCGAGGACCTGAAACGAGAATTCTCCAACGTCCATGGACACCTTCCGGAGACTAGAGAGAACAACTGCCAGCCTAACCCGGCGGCCTCGAAATGTGCGCCAAGATTTATAGTTGTGATGCTATGACATCAATAGAGGCTATCCGCGAAGATGATGTATGGGAGTGAGTGTGGACTCTCTCTGAGTCAATAGCTGCAGTGACAAGCTCCAGATAATGGATTAGACATGATATTCGAGAACACGTGTGGACGGCCCACAAATGAGGGAAAGAAGTCTTTTGCACGCCAAGATCTTTCAGACGCGCAGTTCATGTGCCATGCCGTCCATGCCGTGTGGCACAATGCACTGCCTGATAAGGCAATTTCTGGCTACCTGGGCTCAAAACCCCTTTGTTCTTCAATGGTTGTTTCCAGTTCAAAGACGTTGCCACCAGGGGCTATATCTGAGGGATTATAAAGGCGGCCTCTTCCCAAATCCACCCATCTGTCCAATCGCTACAAGAACTAGAACTGAGCCTCTACGAGTATCTGCTATGTCCGGCTGGCCTCCCTTTCCGACTGACGAGCAATACGAGGCAAGGGAGTATCGTCCCGTCATCAGATACTGTCGGTTTGGATACCCACTTTACGACACCCCGAAACCTCCTTCTTACATATTCTATCCATACTTCGTTGACTCTGACTATGTGATTACGTCTTTCCCCTTCATGTCGTGGCATAAATTTATGACGCCCCCATCTTTTAGGAACTACGGTACTCCCCAAGTCCAAGTCCTCCTCCGGCACCCATAGAGCAACCTACGGTAATACAGCCGCCTCCCGCACGACCAAGAAAGAAGGAGACGAAGAGCAAGCGGGCAAACAAGCCAAAGGTGGACAAAGGGAAGAAGAAGGTCGTCACTGATTTAACTGCGTGTGACTCCGACGGTGTTGAAATTGTAGGTGGATGGTCCTCCTCATGCGGAATGGAGCAAGAAATAAACACAACAATTCCAGGTCGCTCATCCGAGGAACGGAAGCGTCGATTCACTCGCCACCAACAGCCGATATCGGGATTCAGAACCACCAAAGAAGCGTAGGCGCGTTGAAAAGAATCCGAACGTAGCTCCTGCGGTTAATTCGCTGGTCGGTGAATGGGCGATGCTACAGACCGTGGGTCCTTCTCCTACCGTTCGACGAGACAATTGTCCTAAGAACATGGGTTCGACTAACATATTCTGAGTTCAGGATCCGGATCCGAACTACGAATTGTACCAAAATTATCCTTGAAACTGAGTAATACGCAACAGTGTAATACCAACCAGAGTAAACCAAGTTGAAGAATACGTTGGAGAAATCGAAAGAATGTAGGCTAGTCGATTCACTATAATACCGTAACAACACCTGCGACAACTTGATCGGCTGTGGACCTCATGGTGGGGAGGGCGCCGTTTCTGGTGGCGGAGGTAGTCCTCGACGCGCTCTGAGGCGTGGTTGCCGTGCCACTGGCAGACCTAGTGGTAGACGTGGTCGCGAGTCGAGTCGAAGACGTAGTAGCAGCTCTGGAGGTGCTCAACGGCGACCTGCAACGATGATTAATCGGAGCCAGAATTCAGAAATAAAGGGAAACTTACGAGACAGATGTCACCGAGCTGCTGGACGACGTGCTGGTAGTCGTCGTAGATTGAGCATACACCCCGATGGTGAAGGCGGGGAGCAAAATGAGAGATGGCAAGTTGAGGAGCTTCATGGTCGCTTAGGATTGTTTTCTGCTGGAGTGAACGAAAGCCGTAGCCCTTTTTATACCTGGCCAAATTGGAGGCGACACATAGAGTGAGTGAAAGGATCAGAAGGGACAAAATATGCAGACGGGTTCTTCTGACCGTCAATAGATTGGAAGGGGCGGGCGTTGCGCAAAATGTTTCCATTAGGCTTTGAGACCCAGCGGTGAACATTTGCTTCAGAGGATCCTAGGACGTACTTCCATCTAGGCGACGAAAGTATGACCCTATGTGTCTCTGAGCGCTTGTGCGCCGAGGACTAATGGACATGGTGGAAAGGTGGAAGGACCTCGTTCGTTTCAGCGACAGTGGCCAGGCCGATATGATGCAAAAGAAAGGCGTAACGCGCGGCAAAAGACCCAAAACCCTATCCCCGTTTCGCATGCGATCCGCAGTATTGTGCCAATGGGCGTTGTTTTGGTACTTGAGGGTCGTCGAGAAGACGTTTGACGACTAGTATGAATAGATCACATAGATCAATCGTGAGCAGAGCATATGGGAGGAACCCAGAGCCTCTCCGTAGTTTTTGTTCAGAATCCAACTACAATAGCAGCCATGGCACATATCCTCGTGGGTATTGCAGGAGTTTAAGTCAAGCTTAAAATTAGTTTAAACTCCCAGTTCGTCGAAAACTGAAGCGCGGAACGGAAAAGGCCGAGCGTAAGCGCGAGTTTCCGTTAGAGAGCAACCTTGTAGTGAATCTTCCGTTCTCAACTTCCACCTATTGTCTACCACTCCATGCTCTCTGTCTTACCCTTGCCATGAGCGCTTTCGTCTACTGGCTCACAGGCACCATTTTGATTTGTCCCACACCCTAAAGGCCAAAAACAGAACAACCAGTCAATTTTTGACTGTCTCCTGACATGCAAACTCATGAGAGAGAACTCGGGACATGTAGGTGAGTCATCCTTAGAGCGTTTACTGAAGGTATATAAAGAAACCGTATCGAGAATTATTTTGCAATTTTTAGTTTCGAAGAAACCTATTTTCCCAACTCGTGTCACTGCTGGGAACCTCCTCACAGTCCGGGCCTCGGTCACCAAATTTTTACCCCACTTGGCACCTCGGTCGCCCTGCTGCGCCGTTCGCCATTTTTAGAGTGTTTAATGTCTAAGGCAATGTGTCCAACCGTCATCGGAAGCTCTGTGTGCCGTCTGAGATCTGAGCGCTGAGCCCTCAAACCGCTTGCTCCCATATGTTGAATCCTTCCGCATTCCACTTGCTGCAGCCCCTTTCTTGAGTAGATTTCGACGACAGACGTATTTTTTAGTCTCTTGCGGTATCTCCCGTGGTTGTCTTGACGGAGAAGCCTCTTTCGCGATTTCTTGGCACTTATGGAGTGAAGAGATGGAGGGCTTTGTTGGATACCGGCCATGGGAGACCATTGCAGACATATCCTCCAAAGGACTCACATTCCCGATGCGCAGTTCCGCAGCCATTGAAATCCAGGTCCTGGACTTAAATCGAGCAAATATTTCAAACTCCTTCGAAAACTGCTCAGGTGCATGTCGGGTTCGCGTCTGGGCATATGGGCCTGACTCTTACTTGATTGACGCTTGTGTGAGCGTTTTCTCTTATTCAGGATATGCCATAAATTCCGCTTCTGTTGCCTCCCTTACGTCGGTCGTCGGATGGGGCTTTCATCGCCTGAGAAATTCCACAATACCGCCCTCGAAACGCGGGGTTGTCTGGAGTTGTTGAATCGTTCTCGCACTGGCAAACTTCAATGACAATGACCTTCGTCGCACCTTGCTTGTCGTGGTATTTCTAACTTTATTGCGACCAGCGGTTGTACCATGGAGTCTGCACCATGATGCCAAGCTCAGCAGCTGAAGAAAAGACGACCTACTTTCAAGAATAGTATTCTGGGAGAATGTCGAGGACGAGAGGTATAAAATGAGGGGGTTGTTAACTCCAACCTGTAGTCAGCTAACACAGCTTGTACTCTCGAATTTACTCTCGCCCTCGCACTCTCGTTCCCAGCTGCTTTTACGTTCTCAATTTCCGCTAAGCAACCACCATACCGTCATGGAGTTCAACAAGACTTTCATCGCCCTCGTTCTTGCTGCCGTCTTGACGGCGTCGAACGCCCTTCCTGTACGTATAAAATTCGTCCGTTGTCTCGACACCTCTCATCGATATCAGGTCAAACCCAAGGATGCGTTCGCTGTCAGTGTCCGGGCTGTTGCCCTTCCTGTCAGTGAATCCTTCGCCGTTGAGCAGGTCCGTGGCCGCAGCGTCACCAGGACCATCGAAACTCGCAGGCACGGAGACTCTGGCGAACGCGGAGGCTCTCGCCATCGGGGCCGCGAGCTCGAGGCGCGCCGCCATGGCTCGGGGTCACGCCACAATTCCCATGTTCGTCGGGACCTTGATGCCCGCCGTCACGGCTCTGGCTCCCGTCACCGCCGTCACCGCCGTGACCTCGACGCCCGTAGGCACGATTCAGGCGAACGAGGCGGCTCGTGCGGTCGCGGTCGTGGCAGGCGGGACGAAGAAGGTAGTTTGGAGGCGCGTAGGCATGGGTCGCACTCTCGCGGTCGTAGCCACGTATGCCGCAACGAGGTCGACCTTGAAGCTCGGCGTCACGGCTCGGGTTCTCGAGGCCGAAGCCATGTCCGCCGTGCGGAAGTCGACCTCAGCGCCAGTATGCATGGGCCGGCCTCTCATGATCGTAGCCACGTCCGACGCAAGCTCGAAGCGCGACGACATGGCTCGGGGTCCCGCGGACATGGCCTGAGCCATGTCGGGCGCGAGTCCGAGCAGGGGCCCCGCCGGCATGGCCCCGGATCCCGTGGTCGCAGCCACGGCAGAGGCAGGCGCGACGTTGAGCTCGAGGCGTGACGGCAAAGTTCGCGAAGTCTCTGAAGCCAGCACCAATACTATCACCAAAAATCACACTGCTTGTTCCGGAATTGATTGCCTCATTGGTCGTGGATAAAAGAATATCTATGATGGACTTGTTACATACTCCCTTCTCGACGAAAAACTCCAAAAACCATATTTCCGTACCTGATCTATAATCTCAGAAATGTATTTCACAAAATCTGAGCTGTATATCGTTAGTTGTTCGAAATGAGGATTTGTTGCATTGGACTTTCAGATGGTGTACAGATATCTGATATTCTACAGCGTCAGACTGTTGACGTTTTTTTTTTTTGACTGACTTTGACTTTGACCTCGATCTATTTCTTCAATCCTGCCTTGATGAATTCCGCCGCTTTCTCTCCAATGACGTACGCCGTGGCTTAAACAAATAGGTCAGTCTCTCATCTCACATAATTCCAAGGCTTCGTCTACCTTGTGTATGTGCAGCGATGTGAAGAGGTACAATCGAAAGGTCGACCACGCGAAGGTTGGACGTTCCGTAGACCTGGGTCCGAATCAGCATCTTCCTGGTAACTCCTAACTTCAACACAATTCAAACCTTCAGCTCTAGGTCGACGACACCCTGCTTCTCCTTCGGAAGCATCGAGCAACTGCCGACCGTATCTACATCGCAGAGAAGCGAATCAGCAACGGGAAGACGCCAGAATAGGAGGTAGAAGACATACGCCAGGTGCTGCTGAGATGGTTCTTCACGTAGTCGCGCATCTGTTCGTCCGTCTGGACGTTCGGGCCTGGGTCGACTTCGCGGACGACGCCGGACTTGAAGGGCTCAGTCTGAATCATGCTTCGGATGTACTTCACTTGCTCGACGAGGATCTCCAGATCTGACGAAGAGGGTTATGCAAATGGAACGAAGATAGTTACAGAGAAGGAGGACATGCCCGAGTCAACTTCGAAGTAGTGCGGGTCACATGCGGGGTGCTCTTTGGGGTCTTTGCTCGTGGCATGCTGTGAGGTGCGAATTATTACACCGCAGCAGTAGTAAAATCGGCGCTCAAATACGTACGATAGTGCCCCGAGACAGTGGATGATTTAACATTCCGAGAATTGAGACGTAGCTCTTGCCCGACTCTGGCTTAGCTGGCGATAAATTGTTTAAAACGCAACGATAGAATCAACAACAAAGCATCACTTACAGATGCCAGTGAAGAATGCAGGGAACGCGACGAGTTCGAACTCAGGCTGGGTCTCGTCGCGAAGGATGTCGAGCTGGATGTCCAGTTGCTCGGCAAGACCAGGGTGAATCCCCTTCGCCTTGAGGGCCTTGACCTCGGCCGCGGCTTTTTCGTAGAATGCTGGAGCACCATTGGGGTTGGCGACTGCGAGGGGGACGTAGGCGAATGAGGTGATGCCAGTACGGAAGAGTCCTTTGCCTTCAGCACTGCCATGGAGGCAGCCCGATATCAGAAAGATGTAACGGTGAAGGAAGTTGGGAGAACGAACAAGAGTTCCACCTGCTTTGCAGCAAACGCGGGGTCAGCAAATTTATCGAGGGTGGCATGGTCGGACTTGAGCTCGAACGAGACGCCGAAGAAGACATGTTCTTGTACGTTCTCGCCGACTCCTGGTAGCTCAAGCTTCACATCGACGCCGATCTCGGAAAGGACATCGCTGCGGCCGATTCCTGAAAGTTCGAGGATCTTGGGAGTGTTGATGGCACTGGTGAATTGTATGGGCAATGAAACCAACAGTAAAAAGGCCAGACGCACCCAGCAGAGACGACTACTTCTTTGTTCGCCTTCGCAGTGTAACTCTTGCCATCAACAATGAACTCAACGCCTGTTGCAGTCAGGTTGCCATCTGCGTCCTTCGCATCGGCGAGGAGCACGCGTGAGACGAGCGCTTCGGTCAACACCTGTGAACGAGAAGCGAGAGATAAGATAATTGATGGTCATCAACGACGTCATTCAGGCTTACGTTCAGGTTGGGCCTCGCCAGATTCGGAACCAAGTACGAGGTTGCCGCGTAGGAACGCTTCCACGTCTTCGGATCCATCGTCGCCGACGCGATCCAGGTGCCGGAAATCTGGCGTATCGCGCGTGAGTTCTCTTCCGTCTGCGGTTCAGGAAGAGAGGATTCTCACATCACCACCGTACGGGTCCTTGATGGGCTTGACACCCTTGTTCACGAACGTTTCTTGCACGAGCTTGTCGACTGTGTGGACATGCGACGGAATGGCGACATGGAGAGGGCCGGAGAGACCACGGAAGTCGGGGTCGTAGGTGTGTGGATAGAGATCGGTCAGCTCTTTCGCTGGAAGGTGGAAGCTGAGAAGGCGAAGTTAGAATAACACACAGAACCGGATGCGCGGCACATACGTCTCCGTCTTCCGGGACACCTTGGCATAATTCTCCCAGTTCCATCCAGGGTTACCGAGTTTCTCGAACGCGTCGATATCAGCTGCAGGAGGCTTGATCCAGCAGAAAAAGTTCATGCTTGAACTTCCACCTGGAACCGGACATTTTGCTTAACGACAACGGAGCGAAGACGTGCTTACAACGCACCTAGCGCCTTTCCTCGCGACCAGCCAAGTTGTTTGTCGTTGCAATAAGGCTGCTTTACTGTGGAGAAGCCCCAATCGTACTGCCAAAGAGCAGAATTAGTCTGATTTTGACTTATGTCGTTAGACATACCTTCGTGTCGCCAAACGTCTGTCCGTACTGGCCTGGCATGTCGATTTTGGGATCATTGAGATTCTCTTGTCCTGCTTCGAGGACAAGGACACTGAGCGAAGAGTCTTCCGCCAATCGAGCGGCGAGCGCTGATCCAGAAGTCTATGGAACCAAGGCGTCAATACAGTAGCGCGCATAGATACGGCTTGCCTCTCACCCCTCCGCCGATAACTACATAGTCGAATGAATTTCCAGATACGTCGTTGACGTTGACGATAGGCATTGTAAGGAGTGGAAGATGTGGCAAAGAGGGTGGGGGTTGAAGTGGCGAGATACCTTCTTTATACTTAACGCCCCTTAGCGAAGAAGTCACTGAAACAGTAGATTCTGATAAGAACGCAGCGATCGTGATACTTCGGTGACCCGCAAGGATGATGACCTTCGTCCCTGTGTGCTAAAGAAGGTGAATCCGCCCATGAGGGATTGGTGTTGCGCTTAAGGAGATATGAAATCCGGGTATCAATCTAAACATATGAGAGCGTGAGTTCTATTAGAGTTGAAGATCATCAAGAGCCACGCATAGAAATAGGCGTTTGCTAGGGATACGACTGTATCAGTTGACCACCTCCGGTTGTCCTTCTAAACAGAGAACCTATTTCCATTGATATAAAAAGGCGAGAAGCCATCTCGTTGAACGACTGTATGTCCTTCGACCCCTGAAAGTACCGATCCTGCGTCCGAGCTCCCCATTCCTTTCAAGCTTTGACACGCTGAGAGCTAGAACAACTCACTATGGCCCCAACTGCACCTCCACTCCGAAAACCGCCCAATTGAAATCACTATTCGCGAACAGCGTTTGAGCAATACCTCGTCTGCCGCGATTTTAGCACCAACAAGCCTCCACGTGCCGTCCCATATTTGTGAATGTGACGATAGCACCTTGCTCGGCTTGTACAGCAGGGGACTTGTTGGAAGGGCGGTTCTGGAGCGGCCCTATGGTGGTCCTGGGGCGTTTGGAGGCGTTATTGAGACAGGAAGCATCAGTAAATCGCGACCGGCACACCTCTCGCGAGTACCCGCAGTTCCATCCCCCTGTACATGCCCTATACATGCCTGTCGCATCATAAACCCCCAACCTCGATATCGTCAAGAGATGCAAATAGTGGCCTGCTCAAGATGATTCCTGCCGTCCGCTGTGAAGTCGATGTCCATGGCTCTAACGACAATATTTGAGGTTTGTTCCAGGAGGTTCTTGAGATCCACGTTCTTTGAGCGTTGCTACATAGCAGGGTAAGCAGAGGTCACCTGAAGGCCAGTGAAGGCCTGACAGTCGGTTCAAATCGGCTATGTTTGGCTTCGTAATTAGAAGGTTCTCACGCTGACACCGCTTTGAACTCATACTTTGACGCGTGTTGTCCACATCTCTTTCACCGCGTCTTTTCATCCCAACAATGGCCACCAACGCGCCGAAGAAGGTTATGAGCCTTTTGGACGCGTTGGACCAGTCGTTTATGTCTACAGACTCGCCAACGCCAGCCTTACCAACCCAAACCCCAGATTCCCATCTTTTTCCCGAGGCCGGACCAAGTTCATCGGCTGCCCTAGATGCCCTACGAGCGGCTCAGAGCGCTTACGAGATCAGTGTAGCTGCAGCTGGTGCGTGGGATGTGCTCAGACCACTTAGTTTCTGCTCAACCTCCCTTCCCTCACCAGCGCCTTTTATGACTCAGTCGCTTGCTTCTCTCGGGAATGCCGGACGAGGAGGTGGTTTCAAACTAAATTACGATGTCGAGACACCATTGCGGGCCATAGACGTAGGGGGACCCGACCAAGAACAGAGGTGACCCCTACTTATCCCGCTCGGGACCATCTCTCTCAAGTTCGGCTTTCAGGTTGGCCGATTTCGTCACCAAATCAATAGAAAATACTGGTCAGAATGTCTCCGTGAAGGACGCAATGAAGAAACTTGGGTTGAAAGAGTATGTTTCTTTCACACCTTGGGTCCCAATACACAGCTCATGCGCACATGCAGTAACCGAGACCTGCTACCTGGGGTTGAAGTTCGTCTATTGAGCCATCAAGCCATTGGAGTTGCATGGTTTGTCCCTGAACTGTGCATACCTATCTCTTTCTGATTCTGTACTCAGGATGTTGGACAAAGAACGTAGTCCAGATAGAGGCGGCATTCTCGCGTAGGTTTATCTCTCAGAGCATTTGAATCACATAGTGAAAGATATCGACAGCGATGAAATGGGCTTAGGTGCAGCCCAATACTATCCTCATCTCTATTGTTTTCTGATGCTTTAGTCCAGGAAAAACTGTTCAGATGATAGCAACAATGGCCATGAATATGCCGAAGATCGATGACGACTGTCGAACCACCCTTATCGTCGTCCCTGCTGCATTGCTCCAACAGGTTAGCTGTTTTTTTCTGCCGTAACGCCAGAGCGTAATCGCGTATGATGGCCCGTGTCCAGTGGAAAGATGAGATTGACACGAAGACCAATGGGCTATTTACGGTACACATCCATCACAGCAAGGATAAACTGAAGGCATGTTTGCTATCGAGCATCAGTCCGTCTTCTTACTGAGCTTGTTTCTATAGAAAGCGTCCCAACTCAAGTCAATCGATGTAAGAGAATGCCCAGCGCAAATAATCAAAAAAAAAAAACATCACAACGAAATAGGTTATCATCACTTCGTATCAAACCCTCTGCCAGGACTTCAGCGTCCCAAGAAGTGTCGACCCAGAGGAGGAGGAAGAGTGGCTAGCAGAGCATGGGTGCGCCACGACACGAACAAGTTGTTATCCTAGCTGACCCCGTCTTCCTAGAGGACTGTTCTCGAAAGTCAAATTCTATCGCGTCATCGCAGATGAGGCTCAATTCATTCGGAATCGGTCAGCATTCATCGACCCACTGCCATCCTTTTCTTAATCTGATGTGTCGCGTGGTCCAGTGCAACGCGATCGAGTATTAGTCTTTCTTACCTCAAGGCCAAGTACCGCTGGATGTTGACGGGAACGCCCGTCACCAACACCCTGTAAGCATTCCTCTCTTTCTCCGCTTTGTCACCTTTGACATCGGTCTCTAGGGCAGATATTTATGGGTTGTTACGGTTCGGACGGTTCCGCCCATGGAATGACTGGAATGACTTCAATGTACATGTTGTGCGTCCGGACCTCTCCTTCAAGTAGCAAGTATCGCGACTCACGATGTCACCATCCCGTTTGCAGGCCAAAGTCCAGTCGGAAGATGCACCTCTTGCAGGCTCTCGCGCGCAAGCCATTTTGAAGCCAATCCTTCTCCGACGGACGAAGAACTCGAAGCTGGAAGGTAAACCCCTCTTGGAGCTCCCGCCCAAGGAGATCGAAATCGTCCAACTTCAGTTCTTGCCTGAGGAGCGACAGTTGTATGAGTCGTTCGAGAAGCGGACAAAGATCCATGTCAACAAATTTATTAAAGAGGGGACTCTTATCAAAAAGTGGGATCTTTTTCTGTTTTCCTTGTTTCGTGGAGACAGGTCTAATGCGTTCATAGCCATGCATTCGTCCTGGTCTTGATCCTGCGCCTTCGCCAATTATGTTGCCACCCGCATCTTATCCTTGTGCGTACTTTTTTTGGGGGGGTTTTGAGGCGCATATATTCACACCGATGTATCCAAACAGTCGTTGGCGAATGAATTCGAAGACCCAACTATGCTAGTTGGGACCGAGTCTGACAAAGAGCTCAGCCGCGCGAGGAAGATCATGGGACCTGCCTGGGTTGCTGATGTGAGTCATCCGTCCCAACCCTCGTAAGTACCTTGCTGATCTATAAACTCACGCAGGTCAAGAAGAAATTTTTGCTCCGTGCCATCGCTATGGAAAGCATGGCTTTTGCAGACGAGGTCGACGATCCTGAGGCCACTTGTGGCAATTGCCAAGATCGTAGGTATATCGTCTTTAATGATCGCGGCTCTCCCTGATCTCTTCCTTCCTTCAGTATTTACGAACAACAGTGGTCGAATCTTAGCATGCAAGCACGAGATTTGCTTCGGCATGTCAACTCTTAAGCTAGACACAGGCATATGCTAATGGTCTAATAGATTGCACTCTCGACCTGAGCAATTCGCCGATTGCCCATAACGGAATCTTGTGAGTCTGCTTATGTAGGTTTCTTTCAAAAAATCGGCTCAAAATGTCGTCAGCGGTACTGGGACAGAAAAGGAGAACCTGGAGGCTGAGAAAGAGTACGAAGCTGCTGCTGCCAAGGGTTATCGACCTTGTACGTCCCATTGGCTATTCTTCAGTTTCCCTACTCGCTTGCTAACCTAAAAACGAAACAGGCCCGATGTGCAAGAAGATGATGGATATGAAATCAGCAGACAAAGTCTTCAAGGCAGCTGCATTCGAACCCACAGATGAGGAGATAAGCAACCACAAGCGGGAAAAGAAGGACGCTAGGAGGGCAAAGTACAACGATCGTTATGAGATCAAGACCCGCTCGCCATCGCCCGCTAGGTCCATTCCTGATACGCTAGACGACTCGGATGATGATCTTCCTGATATGGCAGACATGTTGAAGGACATGTTGAAGAAGCCGAAGAAGGTTAAGGATGAGGATGTAAGTCTTCTCCCAAGGACGATGGCACGAGTTCATGACGATAAAGGAGGAGATGCTCGACTTGACGCAGTCTGGTCCATCTTCAAGCAAGTCGAAGAAGAAGCGGAAGATCATTGACAGCTCGGACTCTGAGGTCGAAGTCGTCGACAGTACCTCGCAGGGCAAGCGTCGGAAGAGTGGTGGTGGATCGTCGCCTCCTGCACGGGGTAAGAACACCAAGGGAAAAGGACGCCCAAGCGCCAACGGCGAGGATGGTGGCCCATCTCAAGCGCTCATAGCTACCTGGGGGCGCGGAGACGATGACCTGGAGCCAAGCACGAAGATGTTGGCAATGATTGAGTTGCTGAAAGAGTGGGAGAACGAGGGCGATAAGACGATCATTTACTCACAATGTGCGTAATCTCCTTCATTCCTCCTTTTTTTACATTTTCCGTTCTCCGCATATATTCTTCATCTTTCCTGTCGACCTTTCTACATAATCTAATCAGGTATCTAACCTTGTCTTGTTTTACTTCTCCAGGGACGTCCATGCTGGACTTGATTGAGACCCTCTTTTCACGACATAGCATCAGAAGTCTCCAGTTCGATGGAAAGATGGATAGGTCCGAGAGAGATGCGACATTGGCACAGTTCAGGCAGGCCGGAGGGCCTAAGGTTATTCTCATCAGGTACTTGATCGTCGCTCTGCTTGGAAGAGCTGTTGATAATCTTCTTTATTTTAGCACGAAGTGCGGAAGTGTTGGGTGTGTGATTTCGTTGAGAGTATCACGAATGGGATACTGAATATTCTGATTGATTTAGGTTGAACTTGGTCTCTGCGAATCGCATCATCAAGTAGGTTCTCTAGCCTTCATCTCCGCCGATTTTCTGATTGATTTCATTGCTCCAGCATGGATCTCTCGTGGAATTATGCCGCGGAGTCGCAGGCTTATGACAGGTCCGTGATGCATTCCTTACCACACAACTTCGATTCCGTTGACCTGTGCTTCCCATCCAGGTGTCATCGTATAGGCCAGGAAAAGCCGGTATTCGTGAGACGCCTTGTCGTGGAGAATACCATCGAGGAGCGGTAAGGCCATTGTTTACCTTGGTTCTAGCCTCCTTCCTCAAATCGAGACAGGATGCTGAAGTTGCAAGACGTAAAAACTGGTCTTGCCGAAGCGGCTTTAGGTGAAGGCACAGGCGCCAAGCTCCATAAACTCAGTGTGAAAGACATCAAATACGTCAGGACTCAGTCTATCTTGTTCCTTCGATTTCGAAATCTGAATCTACTTTTCCTAGCTCTTCGGAATGGGCCCGGCCAGTAACACAACCCTCAACCCGCAAGGAGAAATCCAGGCCTGAGTCTGACCCGGAAGCACCCCGTCTTGTGGCCGATTTGACTGGTCATGTTTTCCATATTCCATAGATCCTGTCAACCAGCGCAAACTATCAGCACACTTCTACCCTACTCTAAACTTGGCTCGTATATCTTTTTCTCCGAGCTCCGATGTCCTTATAATACTCTTTGCATATACAAATGAGCTGCGTGCCACTAGTAGTTAACTTGGAACACTGTATATTCTACTCTACAGCTCTTATGCACCGTCCTCTATTTGATCTCCTTCATCCTCCTGCGTTCGGCTGAGTCGTCCTTTTCAGCACGAGGTACACCTGAAAGGCGTATTGATCCCTCAGGCCCCAGGGTTGGCTCGTCCATGCCCATGAACAAGACAGTGACAGTAATTAGTATGCCTTGGATAAATGTTGTAGTGAGAGACGCATGCTGGTCAACGAGAGACACTGGGGACGTGCCAGCTCTCACGGCGGAATGGAAGATCCTTTGCCGTCATTTGGAAACTACTCTGACCCGGGGCAAGCAGCCTTCCGGAGGCAAATATGCCATCCTTCCCGCATCGGACACTGTCACAATGGATGATGTCAAGCGTCGAGCCACTGGCATCGCCTCCGATGTAGTAAAAGAAGCATCTCACCTACTATCATAACACATACCCAGCGGATCATCGAGGACCACATTCGACGTTTTCAGCTGTTATCAGTGATAGTTTCTCCAAAGTCCAATCATCTGGCCGGTTTCGTCCACGGCCAGACTCAGAAGTCTTTTGCGCCACATTTTCGCCTTATTTTCTATTTTTAGAACGCTCCTCCACATGGTCAACGCCGCTCGCCGCCGTCGATCCACAAAAAGAACCAGGAAGGTTTACAGCTAAATGTAGAGCTGTAGAGCTGTATCCCGTTTTTCATGCTGATTGTAGGTTATTATAGGCAACTACGAGCATGACGATGGAGCAAGGCATTGAGGTCGCTGGGGTCATGGACAGTGGCCCGCGGAATGCCTTCTAGCCGCCTTTTCCCGTGATTGTCAGCTCGTTTGTTCCAAGCAACCACGATTCAATTCGACTTGTAGTCAGATCATCACAAATTCGAGATCCTCCGCCGAAACTCAAATCTGACGCCCTACATAAGCCCTCCCTTAAGCGCCGCTCACTGAGATTATGCCCCTCCAGCCGCTCATTTCCCCTTGAGCTCGTCCTCGAGTCTAACATGCCAGCGATCCCCGGGACTAGTATCGTTATTCCTGTGGACTCGACAATGGGGGCGTGCTTGATTGGTTCATTTCTCTCTTGCATGTGAGTATTATTATCGGTTCTTGCTACATCCCAATCGTGACCCATCCCGCCTTGGCAGTCTGTACGGGCTGACTCTACTGCAAACATACCATTACTGCTGTAGGTATTGGGGTAAGGACAAATTGTACATCTACATCCTGGTGCGTGTCTCATTCTCACCCTATTCCTCGATTGGCTCACTCACCCACCATCATAGGTAGCAACTCTAACGTGAGACCTGCCCTTCGGTTGAATTTGACTGCGAATTTGAAGAGTTGAAACCTTAGCGTGCTGGATACCTTCGGGATCATCTTGAATATCAAAGGCCTATGGTACTACCTCATCGACAACTACGGAAATGTGCTCAGCATCCTCTTCATCGATTGGACCCTCGCCGTAAGATTTCAGACGAATTTCTGAATGATCGAGCCATAATATATTTCCGCAGATTTTTATCATCGTGACAGCTTTGACTTCCATCCTAGTTCAAGCGTTTTATTCCTACCGTCTATGGATGAGTGCGTGGCTTTTTTTATGTCTTTACGCTCGAAGGGGGAGTTAATTGTCCTCCGAATCAGTCAGCGGCAAGAAGATGGTTGCCCTTCCTGTTATTATAGTATGGTTGTCGGAAATCATGACGCATAGGTATTCCTAATTGCTGTCGGACAGATGTTACTTGGCTTCGTGGCTCTGGCTCTGTGCATCGGTGCGTGATTTTGATCCCTTCGCTCGAAGTGCATGCGACCTAGAGTACCTAGTATACATGGTCCTTATGCTCAGAAATGGGGCAATCTTGTACATTCCGACCGTCACAGTGAGTCACTCATTAGTCTTAATTTTGATCTTCTCCCTCTCATACTGGACCCTGCTAGTACCTCCCGACCTCCGCTCTCTCACTCAGCCTTGCTTCTGATATTCTGATCACCTCAAGTATGACCTATGTTCTTATGAAACACAAGGGCGAAGTACGGATACGGCAGTAAGGTTTCATGTCCTCGCATCCTCGCAAAAATTGTCTAAGTACTCACTCCAGAACGCGGAATACGCTCAGAAAGCTGGTTATGTACACGATCTACACTGGTTCTCTCACAATGTAGGACCCTTGATATCCATGTGAGATTATTCTGACCACAATTTATAGTGTATGTACGACTTGCGCTTTGATCATAGGTCAAGTCCTCTCCCACACGGAGTACAACACGATATTCTTCTTCCCATCTGGCAAGTTCTACGTTAACTCTATGCTCGCCTTGTCCGTCTACATTTGCCTCCTTGCATTGAAAGTGCTGACGTTTTTCTAGCTTGAATGCACGCGACTCCCTTCGGGGAGAAAATTCCCTTATCAGCGTCAGTCTATCAAATATGGGGAACTCAACGTCGGGCGACTCAGAAATGGCCACCGGATCGGAATCAAGGGGGCCACGTTCAAACAACTCTACTATTAAATTCGCCCCTGTCCCAACAGTTGCAAGTGTTACGAGTGAAGGGAAATAGTCACGACATGAGGACTCACTAGTAGTAGGCTGGTTGATACGCAAATCGGACTCAAGACATTGACATTACTCTAAATGGAGAGCATGCGACACAACAGTCTGGGCCCTCTCGCCAAACAAGGCAAATGCGCCTCCCGCTCGGCAATCTCCGTTAGCGCCCCACACCATAACAAAGCAGCCTCTTCACAGGCTAATATCGTGACGAGGTACTACAGTCAATCCTGCGGTTGAACACGATATAAAACAAAAAGTCTCGTGTCTGAACGAGCGATAGAGCCCTCAATGAGAATCTGGAGGCGGGCACTGCGGCTTCGATGACGCAGAATTTTTCTCATCTGAAAATCACAGCGTGCTCCACCGCCTTCAATGAACAGGAGAAATTTATTACGAGCTGTGATACAGACAACTCGATTTTTTTTGCAATTGGCCCCTCTATGCCGGGAATGGGAGGAATTAAGGATGACAGGAGAACCGGTTGCAACTTATTGATAGCTCCACTATGCATATATTCACGGACACATCTAAGTATCGGAAGCGCCCGTGCACCACTACGGGGCAACCAGTTTGTGACCTTCTACCAAAAAGTAACCCCGTAACTTTCTTCTCCTGTCGGGATGGGTCAACCACGAAAACGCGAACAGGACTTCTGAAATAATAGGACTCGGAGTCAGGATTGCCAAGTTTCGTTGGATTCGGATTGGATCACAAATTTCTCCGACTCTTGTCAATCGTCGTGCTAACTAGGCAAGTTGCAACTCCAGCTCAGATGTGCGGACTATTTATTTTTACGTAGGCATAGTATAAATAGTCCCAGGGCGGTTCTATCGTCCCGGCTTTTCCCTCAGGTTTCCTTACCGCCACGACCATCCTTCCACTGCTTTCTGCCTTTGTGCCAGCGGAAGCAATTCGTAAACAGCCTATAGCAACCGATCCTGGTGGTGACTGGTTGACCTGTTGATCAGGGCCAGAAGCGGCTTCAACGGCCCGACCGTCATCGCATCGTGGTCGTTACGCACGGCCTCAGCACCACCCAGGGGAGATGCTTTAGGACGCCCGAAGGCTACACCACCCCTTCATCATGAACGCGCCGACAATGTCGATAGAGACGGGCGTTGCAGGGCAAGCCCAACCCACGACGCTCTGGGGTCGGGCCATCAAATACATCAAGGACGAAGCAACTTTCTTCCGCATCCACCTTGCTGCTTTCACCTTCATACCCCTCATTTTCTCCGGAATCTTTTACGCATCCAATGGGCGCTATCACATCAGCTACCTCGACTCGCTCTTTCTATGCTATTCGGCCATGACAGTTACTGGATTGTCGACGGTGAACCTTTCAACGCTCACAACGTGGCAGCAGGTTATCCTATACTTCCTCATGTCGATAGTGAGTTGTGAAGCTTAGTTCTCCACATTTCCAGCTGACAATTTGAAGGGCGACATCACCATCGTTTCATGGACTATGGTCTTGATCAGAAAGTGCATAATTTCTCTCTCCTTATCTCTCTGCTTCTAACCCAGCACTCTAGACGGTTCTTCAGAACTCACTGTGAATATATCGTCGCGAAGCAGAGGAGGCATTTTGGCAGGAGGCTCTTGCGCTCGAAAACTTTCTTCATGAAGAATATTTCCTCACCAGTCTCTGTCGCCAAGCAAGGAGAACCTGCTCCGCGCCAGCCCAAAGACGCCGAAAAGACAGGCTTTGCAACGCCACAGGTCCAGGTCGTCAATCCGACCCCAGGCGTTACAAGGGTTAACAGCACCGTGGAACTCAAGGACGACGACTACATCCTTTCAGATGCCCAAAACTTCACCACCTCACCCACTTCTGCGACTCGAGTGTTGACAAGCTCACCTCGCTCTGCCAATCTTGTGCTTTCTCCTGATTCCGAGCCAGCTGCCACTATTCGGTCCCCAGTTGTCGATTTTGCTCCGTCAACGACCATCTCGCCAAGGATCGCCCACTACCACCCCATGATGACCGAACAAAATGGGCGGCCTGTCCCAAAACGCGGCGCCACGATGCTCAGCAGCTCCAAAATCCCCGACGTCCCAGGGTCAACCGGCGCAAAGAACCGCAAGTATCAGGGATTTGGAGGATTCCCTGGCCCAGCTCATCTCGTCCATGAAGTGCTGAAGCTCACTGCCCCACACGCAACTCGCAACCTTCAGAGAAAAATGACTATGCCGATGATAACAACGCTCGAGGCAGATAAAACACCATGGGCGCGGCAGATTCTGAATGGACTGGTGGTTGGGCGGAATTCGGATTTTCGTACGGATTCCCTGACGGATGAGCAGCTAGAGGAGATCGGAGGGGCGGAATATCGTGCGTTGAGATTGTTGAGCTATCTCGTCCCTACTGTGAGTTGCAAGATTTGTCGGAAAGTTATTCCCTATTTGCTCACACTTCGTGTAGTATTTCGTCATCAATCAACTCTGCGCTGTGTTACTCTTCCTCCCTTGGCTAACAGTCGTGAAGACCTATGACGGTGTGTTCGAATCACAATTCCGATTGGTTTCCAAGTCTTGGTTTGCGTTCTTTCAAGTTATGGGCGCGTATACGGGTGGAGGACTCTCGCTCGTTGACCTGTTAGTTGGATGTTGGCTTCTCATTCTGCTTAATAAATTGATCACCTTTCACAGAGGCATGGTGCCGTTTCAAAGCGCCTACCTTATGATCAGTATGTCCTCATTTCCAGATGAAATTTCTGGATTACTAAATCTTTCATCGTGCAGTCGCTATGTCGATCGTCATTCTCGCCGGAAATCATGCCTTGGTAAGTCTCTTTTTTCATAACCCTTGCCCCTACCCCACGTTAATTCGTTTTCCAGCCTATCTTGTAAAGCATAATTCGCTTCTCGGTAGGACTGACCACTAATTTGAAATTGGCAAAGCTTGCGTTTCGTTATGTATGCTTTCCCTTTGGTGACCTATGACCACCCCTGCTGACAGACATTATACAGCTGGGTGCTGTCCAAGATTGTTCATCCAGAATCCCATTCTGAAGCTGCTCTTTCATTTCTTCTCGACCATCCTCGTCGATGCTTTCTATACCTGTTCGTTCTTGCACCCGGATTCCGCCTTCCTTGATGCCGATATCAGATTTCGTTTACAGGTTTCCCAGTCATCAAACATGGTTCCTTGTCATCTGTCTCGTTTCGTTCAGGTGCGCAAACCTCTCATGTTCTTGTTGTTGGGTCAGATTGCTCAATCTTGTGCAGCGCCATAGAATGGGTTGCATTTCTTGTTCTCAGTAAGGCTTCTGATAACCTCCACCAACTATGATAACTGATCTCGTGGTGGTCTTTGCAGATATAGGAATACCAGCATACGAGTCAATGCCGACTGGTCCTCGAATCATCGCTGGGCTGTTTCAAGGACTCGCTGCGCGAGCTTCAGGATTTGCGATTGTGCCTCTAGCAAGCTTCGCACCTGCCTTACAGTCAGTAATGTTCTTGCATTTGGAGGACGTCCTATTGAGCGCTACGTGCAGGTTCCTTTATGTGGTGATGATGTACATTGCCGTAAGCCTCATTCTTTGTCTACTCTCATTGATCGCTGACGCAGAAGGTCTGAAGGTCTATCCTGTTCGTCCCATGAGAGTACGTTATGTATGGGACTAATTGCTTTACCTAGGTTGCCCTTAGTATACGATCGACGAACGTGTAAGAACGATTTGGCCCTTCTGTCCTGATGTTGCATTCACACAAACTGTTTAGCTACGAAGAGAGGTCACTAGGAGTCTTCGAAGCACCTCCAGACGATGAGGACGAGGAGCCCGACGACATCAACAAACTTGGAACAAGGAGAGAGCGCGTTGGGCGGTACGTCGGGTGGCATCTTCGAAGACAAATGTCAATTGGTGCGTCTGGATTTCCTGCTTGTGTTAGAGTTCTGAGCTGGCTAACATTGTGCCCCTGCAAGATATCTGGTGGCTCGTCTGGGCCGTATTCATCGTTGCCATAATTGAACGCGGGAATCTGCTCGACGAATCGAAGAAGTGGTTTGACCTCTTCCGTGTCGTGTTCGAGCTTGTGTCAGCGTTTGGCGGCATCGGACTCACTCTCGGGTTCCCATCGGTACGGACCACTTCGTATGAATCTCCGCGGTCTGCTGATTTCCTATCAGAATAACTTTTCATTCGTCGGTGCGATGTCGCCTCTCTCGAAGCTCGTCGTCATTGTGATTATGTAGGCGTCTCTCCATCGTTCATTCACTCAGACAAACGTGTTTACTTTCCTTACAATAGGGTTCGTGGACGTCACCGGGGCCTACCCGTCGCCGTCGACCGTGCCGTACTGCTACCCAATGAGTTGGTCCCAAACAAGGATGGACCGAAGTCACCGAGCCCTCTCCAACCAACCGCGCCACTGTCAATATTTTAACATCCTTCCCATTCTTTCGACTCGTGCTTTCATGCCTCTATGCTCTGCCGCTTTCTCTATCACCAACAACGGGTTTCGTGGCAACGCCAGCCAATGCCAAACATTTGTATAAATATATTCCTCATGCCGCCTTCAGACACTCTGCATATTACTCACTTCCCCATACCTTACGCATTAGACTATCCTAGATCCTAGAATCATTTGTATTTGCATCGCCCTCATTTATTTAATTATGCACATCGCCTCCGACATTATCAAAGCACGTCTGGCCTATGGCGGGGTAGCTTTAACTTGGAACTCAGGAAAAGGTCTGGTCGGTTACCGGCCCCTGAAAGATCACTTGGTTCAACGCCTTGACCCTCCTTCCGTCGAAGAAACCGTGAATGGGAGAGGGCGGAGGAGGAGGAATGCTCGGATCTTGTTCGATTCTATGGCATGTGCCAAGATGTCACCATGATATCCCCACCAAAGAAAAGTAGAAACCTACACCACGTTGACAGATGCGATGACCTGGCTGCTGACAGGCACGTCTCGAATACGGATTGCTTGACTTATGATTGCGGTGTAGAAAACTCCAACGGAGCCTGCCTACAATATACTCTTCAGCATCGGCACCATTTGAAGCTGGCGCCCAATCAAATGTGCGCCACACTCACATCAAAAGGCTTGTCCTGATCCTTGGGCACTTCGACGTTAGCACTGAACGCAACGCTGGCGCCAGCCTCGTCGAAGTTCTCGATCTTGACCTGCTTGGCGAAATCCAGGCGTGAAACTTGAACGCCGTTTACTATGATGGTGGCGTCCTTGGAAAAGAACGCGTCGAGCGCAGCGGTAAGGTCGGTGTTGTTGGATGCTTGGATGAGCGCTGTGATGTGGTTCTTTGTCCACTGGGTGAGGGTTGGGAGAACAATGGCGGTGGACATCGTGAGTAGGGATGAGCTACTTGTTGAGTGGGGCTGAGAGTACTGTGAAAGGCCTGTTGGCGTGTTGGAGATGGGTATTTCGCACCCCAGGCCTTTATATCCTCGAAAGTCGGTTTAGTGGGAGGATAGTCGTAATTATGTTGTGATGGATGGCGCTCGAACATGTTTGAACTGCTCCTTTGGGGCAGAAAGTTGGCAGGAGGGCTGATATAATGTCCGAGTGCATTCCAGCGCTGACGCGGCTACTATCCTTGGAGGATCGAGGTCATAAATACTACATCTGTCTCTGAAATTAGAAGCTCAGGAGGTTATTTTTGGATGGACTGAGGTAGAGAATGGTCGCGGTATTTTTAGACGATCCCGCGCTGGTAGCTTAGTGAGTCTCGATAGGTTTTGGTGTTTCAGCGTTTAAGCTTGCGTTGTGCTCCAGTAAATGGCCAGGACAAGGACGAGCGGGATCATATATTCATGAATACAATTTTCGTGTGTGCTGTTATACAAGTGTACGAACCTGTGAGATCTTGAGAGAGAAGAAACGAAAAGCTGCGTCTTCCACCATTACGAATACTAAATATAAATTCAATACTGAGCCGTTCAAGGTAACTCTCTCAATGTCCGTCACGATAGGCTCGATACTCCGGCGACTGCTCTAACTTGTCGGCGAGGTAATCCATAATGTTCGCCTGAGAAGGTAGGCATTCGGGAGATTGCCGGGGCGAACAGCATTCACGGCGGTGACTCGGCCAGTCCGCCTTTTGGCACGACTGTGAACAATAGACCGTCTGAGGATAGATAAATTAGAGAGTGAAACGAGCACAGGGTTGCGATACGCTTACGATCTGGCAGGCGGAACATTGCGAGAACACCCTAGCGTCGCGGTCTTCAATATTTGTGCAATCCGGGCCTTGGCATCGACGGATGAGGGCGCCACCCCATGTACCAATCTTCGCTGCCCGTTCGATCTCGAGGCGAGAGCGAGGGTCAGTACCAGAATGAATGTACTCCTCGATAGCGGCGTTCCAGTTCAGTTGATGGGCGGCTCTCAATCCCCTGGCTCCGTAACTGCGGCTGATGGGCCTATTGTCCAAACAATTAAAAAGAAAATGAAAGAGGTGGCGGTGTAGCGAACTCACAAAGGGAACCTCATCTTCGACATCCCATGCGCAAACGCCGGGTCGACCTTGTTGAGACGGAGCATTTCCTTACGGAACTTGTCCATATTCTCTTGCGTTAGTCCTGCAAATGGCAGGGCTTTCGACGAAGAGGATACATTTCCGGCGTCGTCATAATCGAAATCGAGTGCTTGGAACCGCCGTACGGCCGCACGTAGCTTGTCGTCCTTGCCGAAAACTTCGATGTGCGTGACGATCTTCTGCTTCTGTGCGTCCCAGCTCTCGAAGGCGGCTATCTTCGACATGCAGCACCTCTGGTAGGCCCTGTCTTTGCCGCAGAAGCAGAGGAAAGAGGGAGAGTAGTGTATGCACACCTCTGGCGCGGCATGGCATTCCGAGAGTGGTTTTCCTGATGAGCAAGGGCAGAGACGTGGTGGACGCTCGGCGCCTTTGGGGAGCTTCTTCGACTCTGCGGCTGCGAAAAGATTGCGGTCTTCATTGCTTCTGACGCAGTGCTTCATCTCTTTTACGGACAGATGGTTGCGCGCGCCGTGTTCGAAGAGGAGGCTGACTGTGTCCCAGTCTTTGGCGAGAAGCGCAAGATAAAGGAGCGAGTATCCGCAATGCGTCTGATTCACGTCGATATGTTGCTCAATGAGCATCCTTGCGATATAGGAGAACCTCTTGAGAAGGGATGGGCCTTGCCGCAGGAGCGTAATCTTCCTGGGACCGGTGTAACCGTTGATTGTGATGTCCGCTCGCAAGATCGCAGCGCCGGCGAGTGCCAGGAAGATAGGCGTGAAGCCCTGCTTATCTGGCTTGTCTGAAATGGCACCGAGGTAGAGATATTCGTGCATGAGGAGGATGTCACCATATGCCGCAGCGTAGTGGTGTGCCATTCGCGACGTATTTTCGTGGAAACAAGCCTCATCAAACGAACTGGGTTTGAGGGTGACAGCGCCGAGTTTGTTGACAGTTAAGTCGTTTCGTCCGTCGACTGCCCATAGACGAATAGTTGAAGCTTCAAGGGTATCTAGTTTGCTATGCTTTGAAGGAGAGAGAAGAGGGTCGGCCTTGAGTTTCGCAACGAGACCGTCTGATACGAAAGGAGGGAGGATACGTTTGGAGAAAGGAAGGTACTTTTCTAGGTTCACCTGAGAATGCTGAAGACTCCCGGAAGGTTTAACCACGAGCTGAGGGCCGTAGGTGTGCTTCGGTGCCATTTTTGTGTGTCAACCCTTGCGAACTGAGCAGGGTTTTATATGAACGTTGTTTCGAGGTCGTCTCTGTCGTCAGAATCTTGTACTTCAGAATTAGATATAGCAAAGACAATAGCCAGCGGAGAACAAGGGTGGGCTGTGCCAGTACTTGAAGGGAACAATGAAAGAAGAAGGAATGATGGTGGCAGCCACCAACCTGCTACTTCCGCAAAGGGAACAGTGGGTTTCCACGTTCCGTCATCGCAACAAATCAGCAAATAGACAGCGGCATTGCCTCCGAAGGCTGACAACAATTCCTCAGAATACACACTATGTCGAACGTTCTCCTCCTCAGAGAGCCTTCTTCAGATAGCCTGGATCGCTATGAAGTAGCGTTCAGATCCGAAAACTACCACCCACTATCAGTTCCAGTGCTCGAAACGGTCCACACGAACATTTCGCGTCTTCGTGATATTATCCAGAAAGGGCCCCAATTACAAGGAATCCAAGGGGTAGTCATCACAAGCAAGCGTTCCTGCGATGCATGGAAGGAAGCCTTGCAACTTCTTCAGGAGGGTCGCAACACAACAGGTTCGTGGCACACCTATGGTCAACTTGAAATACGCATTTGAGCTTTACTCTTAGCCTTAGCCGTTTGGTGCTCTATTCCGATCTACGTCGTGGGGCAGACGACTGAGACTGCTCTCAGAGAGGTTTTCTCAACGTTCGGTCTCCCTGAGCCGGATATCAGAGGCCAGACGTCGGGAAACGCTGGGTCTCTGGGTCTATTCATCCTAGACGACCTCCGAGAGCGGCCGGCGAAGCTGTTGTACCTCACAGGCGATAAGAACCGCGACACTATCAGTCGCATCCTCACAGACGGCGGGATATCGTTGGAACTCTTGCGGGTGTACGAAACGCGAGGCTCATCGATCTTCGAGTCGTCGTTGTCTGCAGCTCTAGCCTCTTCACCGAAGTGTGGGCACTTCTCTTCGACCCTATGACACCTTACTAACGTGCAGATTCGCCTGAAGCCAGAAAACACTGGTGGATCGTGTTCTTCGCTCCGTCCGCTGCAGCATTCGTGATGCCCATCTTGCGCAAGTATTTCTACTTGGAGGATGAGAGCTTAGAATCCGCAGGTTTGCTTCCCTCGAAGATCGCAGCCATCGGACCCACGACCGACGCCTTCCTTCGAGACGATCTTCACCTTCGCGTTGCAGCCATGGCCCAGAGGCCTACCCCAGAGGACCTCATTTCCGTCATAAAGCGCCAGGACGACGACGATCCGTAATTTAGAAACGCCACATCGCCCTTCTCGCCTGACTCCACCAAGTCCCCAACCACCATGAGCACCCACAAACCCGATTCAACGAAGCCTTGCTACAGATCGTTAGTCTGCTGGAGAACTTGATGTGCAAATAGCCAGTGTTCAAAGCGACGCAAAGTGCTGCAAAGGTATTGCCACAAGACTAGCGACCTCTGCACAGAACGTGGATGCCACCCCATTCGTGTTTGAGTTTGAAGTCGTGACAAGCGCTGCGCTCGTCGCTGTGCAGGTATCCGAAATATCCTGCGGCGATGGCGATAGTGGCGTGGAATCTATATTGAGGGACAATGCATGTGTAAACGACATGGTTTGTGAATGTGGCGTGTGCAATGAACGTGAAAGGGAATAAGGTAATAATAGAGGCTTTGCGCAAAGCCAGCTGGAGCCAGTGGTGGCTCAAATGCGTTGCGCTGAGACCTTTAGCCAGCAGAACCTGAATATCAGACCGATGAATGCCATATATTAATATTACTTACATCTCTCTATAACCTCGTATTTCCTGGAGAGCTCCACGCGATATCAGTCTGTGGGGTGGTTGATCAACGGTTGATCACGGTTGATATTTTCTGCTGGCTCAGTTTCCATATATAGGTTAGTTTCTGGAGATTGTCGTAGCTGCACGGATGAATACAATGAGATACTTGCATTGTCATTGAACTCCCCTGGCATCCAGACATACACGGTACTACATAAGACTAAGTTAAAAGCATAGTCACTAATTGGCCGCTACTGGCTACACGACACAGCGCAACGTTTTTGAGCCAGCACTGGCTCCAGCTGGCTTTGCGCAAAGCCTCTAATAACAGTAAGTGTCTGAGCATTGTCCCATCTGGAAGATGATTCTGAATGCACTAAGGTCCAGCCTTAGCATGTACCGCCATTGGCGAGACGGTTCTTGGGAATTGGCTGTCCTGACTGTTCCCAAGTCGAAATGTTAGGATTAGTATAGACCTCCTTGTACCTGTGCGAAACAACCTGTGAGCGAAGTCTATTTATAGAAGAGATAAAAATAACCCACGTTTCGATGTACTTCGCACTAGTGGGGAACCGCGGTGGGTCGCACCCGATGTTAATGGCGTCCTTGGGCTGGTAGACACGAATGTAGTCGATGCTCATCGTCGCCGGGAAGACCAGGGTCTCAAGATCGAGGTGTCCAAAGTTGCGCGAGAATCCCAGATTTGCGATAATGTACTGGAAAAAGGTGAGGTTCTGCATAAGTGTAAACTATTGACTGACCATGGGCTCCTGAGGAACAGGACGTGTGTCGATCTACGTCAACGGATCGGGACCCATGGCGGGTCCTGAAATTCGCCAGGAAAGCTTGCCGTCATTGATCCAAGCGATGTACGAGTCATCAAATCTAATGGGAGTTCGCAAGTTGAGTGACTAGCGAGAAAAAGGTGGTCGTACCCAGGCTTATATTCGAACCCATAGACGGAATAACATCTCGCCTTACGCTCGTAACAGTCTTGGTTTGTAACCGCCAGGCCACTCGTCGTTTGCTGGTAAGAAGAGGGTTAAAGCCTCGGTGAAGATGATAACCAGCCTACATGACTTACTGCCTTTGAATGTGTTGAGAACCGTGCCGGCGGTGTCGTAAATGTCGAAATTATCGGATGTATTGAGGAACCTATATTCAGCCTACGGGGAAAAATTAGAATCGGTGGGCGCACTACGGGCGAGGGGGATAGTTACGTTGTAAGGGGCCCATTGCGTCGACAGCGACACCTTCGTTTCGTATTTATCATCAGGGTCGATTCGGACTCGGGATTGAGAAGCAAAGCATCGCCAACCTTGCCGCCTTCATCGTCGGTGAGGGCCTCGAAGATATCGATTTCTGGTGCCGCCCGACCGACGTAGCTTCCATCTTTCCTCATAGGTCCGGGATGAGATTCTCCAGGACAAGTACACCCGGCTGAGCGATGCGAAAATAAATTCCGGTGCCGATCTCCGTCTCCGAGAGAACTCACATAGGCGCTGGCCAGGAAGGTATGACTATGACCCAGATTAATTCACTTAAGGGTCTTCGAGACAAGTGTTGTTTAAATGACTCACAAGCACGCCGTCTCTCGTGGGGTCGCCGTTTCGAGTTGCAGCGACAGGCTCACTTCTACCAGGGTACGTCTGATTTGGGAGGGTGCCCACGTCACAGGCCTCGTAGGTATAAGGCCACTGGAGCGTGGTTGTTGAAACGTTGGAGGATTAGGACAGGGACATGAAAAAGGAGCGAGAATGACTTACCATGCCATCGAGGGTGCCTCCGTATCCAGCGCGTCCTATGGCGTTTCGCATTAGTCCGCTACGATAGAAAATAGATAAATTGGTCGCTCATACCGAGATTACCCATGGCCCAACTTTGCGAGTGGTCAGCAAAACCTTTAAAAGGGCAATGTGATGGACTCACACAGCCGGCCAGAAACCACTATCGTCATGAACGAGACAAGCATCTGACCCCGAATTTAAAAATACAGTATGTCTATACGTACCTTGAGCGCGTGTCGCCAGGTAGCATTACAGCCGCTGTTAGAGGTGACATGAAAACTTGGGTTTGGACGCAAGTGCAGCGCGACACACCTTCGATCAGACCACCAGTAAAGCAAAACTTATTCCTGATATGGCACTTGAAGTTATGCCTGCGATCAGCAAACATGGAAACGTTCTTACCAACTCTGGATCTAGAGGCCACTGATCAGAAGATTGTCAGTTGAGAGACGGGGATTACGCACCATGCCTGACTTATAGTCCAGGTCATGGTTGTTGGCCGGGTCCGCGACTTCGATGGTGAGGCGCAATGCACCATCCTTTGTCGTGGCTGTATACATAGAGTGAACAAGGATCAAAGAGGTTCGACAACTCACAACGTACGTTGGGTGGCATCATACCATTCCAAATCATTCTAGAAGTATGGTCAAGTGCGGTCATAGTGTTGGTAGAATAAAGGTCTTACAGTTACCCAGTAATGAAAATCGACGGCTTCCCAGAATGGATCATCACCGGGGTAGAAGGAGCGGCCGTCCTCATTGAATTCGTCAGAGAAGACCAGAACAAGTTCCTCGTCGGAGAGGTAAGACTTCTTTGTGAGGGCCTCTTTCGGTGTGTCGCGATCGATAAGGCCGAAATTATTGCCGAACGAAGGAATTTGACCACTCGCGTTAATCCCCCCAAGATTAAAACCGCCTTGATTGCTTGGCCCCGAGGTCAAGACATGACTGAGTATTGGGTAGCCTGAGATACGAATGCGGGAAGAGTAAGAGCACAATGCATTGCAGGACATACCGGCACTGAAGGCCGATGGACGGTGAATGAGAGTCAGTGATTAATGATAGACGGTATCTAGAATGGCAACTCACAACAGCATGACTAGTACCGCAGAGAGAATGAATAAACAGCCAAGATTCGCCAGCCCTCGGGTTGTAAAAAATGTTCCTCCCCTATCCGACGCTCTATCACGCGATGGATCTGGGTAGTGTAAATAATCGTCGGGTTCTGAAGTATGCAAAGGCGTGCCCCATGTCTTCGGCGACGGTGATAGAGAGTACTGAACATGGACATCAGTGAAGAGCGAACAGGGCATAGTCATCTCGCCCCACCTTCTCGGATAACGAGTGCTAGCAGGAGTTGAAAGCTCGTAAGATTGCGTGGAAACAAGCAACGCCACAACGCACCTGTCCGCTACTGTCACGGCGAGAATCTAATGCAGCAAACTCCCGGCCAGTCGGTAGGAGGAGATTGGAAACCTGAACCTGAGGTTTGGGAGAACTTCTGGCTCATGACACGAGAGCCAGAGTAGGGGCTAGATGTAACTTGATCTTAGGCAGACGAACTGATGCGGGTGAGGGAGTAACACTAGAAGGCCGAGGAGGAACGAGAGTAGTAACGACTAGTTACAGTAATTCACTGCCTTCTTGTACAGCAAAAATGAAAATGCCCTCTACTGTTCGTCATAGATGAAACTCTTGTTCATTTCTGTATATATGAGCTGCCTATATGTCGAAACTAGGTCGGTGTGCGATTTGAACGCCGTCGGGTGAGAAATGGACACGCTGTCAGTAAATCCGTGCCGGGGTACCCTTTTTGGGCAAAACCGGGCAGTTGTACAGTGTCACGCCGTTGCCGGTGGCTGTGTCACGCAGCTCAGTTATCTTCGGTCCGATGCGATCAATTGATAAACACTTGTTCTATTCTTCGTCTATCGTACCGTCGCCACCCACATCCTCCTCAGGATCCTCCTCAGGATCTTTCCGCGCCTTCTTGGTTGGGGGTTTTACCCGGGTCTCCTTGTAATTCGAACGCAAAGGCTTTGGATGGGCTTTGTCCCAAACCTTCAGCTTGCGGCCCGCCTCCTTCGCTGCTACTCGTGCTGCTGTCCACTTGTTTGCATCCTCCTGAAACTGGCGATACAGTGCCGCATTCCTAGCCTCCCGACCATCCTCATGTGCCTGCCACACTGCCATCCGCTCCTCGTATTCAAGCTGCTGGGCAGCCCTCTCCTCCTTGTCGCGCGCCTCCTTCGCCTTCGCATCCTCGTGCTCCTTGACGGCTCGAATCACGGCGGAATGTGTCATCAAACGAGGTAAGCTGTCTCGTAGAATACCTCCTCGCCCCTTCTTCTTCCTCTCTGCCTTTCCTTCCTTCGCTTGAAGCTGACGACGCAGTTTGTTGCAGTATAATCGCTGCAACACGAGCATGGATTGCATACGGATCGCCTGCTCCTTGTAGTAATCTGCTGCCGCTGCTTTCGCAATGAGAGCCTCCTGCATGGTGTCCTCGTCGGGTGTGGATGTCGTCTTTGTTGTGAGGTATGTGACATCTTGCCTTGACATTGACGGTTTGGTAATGCGACGTTTCATAGGCGAGATGAGAACATTCGGCAGATCGGGTGGATTAGAAGACGATGGGATAGGTGTTTGTGAGAAGAGAAAGCCGCAATCAGAGTTGGCAAGTTCTTCGAGGGCGGCTCGGATGGGAAAGGTGTCAAGCCGTGGGTGGGCAGGTTCATCATTTACAGGTTCTTGTTCCTCCCCTTCTCCCTCCTCACCCGCTTCATGACCAGCCTCACCACCCCCCTCCTCAACATCATCTACCTCCTCATCAGCACCATCCTCCACCTCCTTGTCCTGCTCTCCATCCGCCACCGCTTCTTCCTCCTCTTCACCCGCTTCATATTCCTCATCACCTCTCTCGTCAACCGCATCCCCACTGGCTCCCTCATCCTCACCTTCGGAATCTGTATCCGAATCATTGTTTGGAGACGACGTGATGAAGATAGGCTGGAGGGTGTCAATGATCAGCTCCGTCATGATGCGGACAGCAGCTGGTGGCTCAACTGGGGTGTAATGCCGAAACGAGGTGTCGCGGCTGGGAGCG